ATACATGTTGTCCTGAAAGTCAGCTTTTAGGGCTGAGGAGAAGCAGGATAGAAACAAAGCATCATGCTGAACCAGACCACTGATCTGTGTGTGATCAGATATTGCTCTGTAGGGCATGAGCTTTCAGATTATATATTTATAAGTAGACCTTCTCTCCATCCCCCAGTTTGCTTTTCGCCTTATGGAATCAAAATACCAGACTCACTTCCCCATTCAAATGTCAGTTCAGGCCAAAAAAAACTTCCAAAAGTTAGGGGAATATGGTGTTTGGCACTTAGAATTGTCATGAGAAGTCTTTTGGAAGGCAGAGTTGGGAAGAGGCTGTGTGAACAACTAATGTAAAAATCTCATTTTTTACTTGGTTTGCAAAAAAGGCTATGCTGTGTAGTCCAGCAGATTTTTTTTTTTTTTTTTTTTTAATAATAAGGAAGCATGCAGAGTTACTGATCTTTGTTCTATTAAGAAATACAAATCCCAATGTCCTTCTTTCCTGCTTATGTATCTCAGCATCAGGTTTTCTCAAGTGAGCCAGCTGTGGAAAACATCTGCCATTCTTTCTTTTCAGCAGCTGCAGATCCTCTCAACAAAACACTTGTGGCCATCCTCTAAATTATGATTGATTTTTTTAAAAACAAAGATTGAAAAGGGAAGACTCTTCAGCTGTCTCTTTGCTCTCGTACTCAGTGAGTTAGGTCCTTTTTCTAAAGCTGCATAATAATGTGTTGACTTCTAAATGTCAGCCAGCCAGCTTCTCATCTCTGTTAGCACCTGAGACACAGCATCCTCTCTTCTTGCAGTTTGGTCTCCAAAGTGCTGCCTCTGAGGAATGGTCCCTTTTGCTGTGTACTAAAGGTAAGGGCTCTCTGAGTGGTTTCCATTGGTGATGACAGCTGTTACTGCAGTAAAAGCTAAAATCCAGTAAAAGCACCTCCAGGTAAAATGCCTGGCTCTTAGGGGAGAGTGTGTGTGTGGAGTGCATGGAGTCAGCTGCTTCAAATGGAACTCAAAATACTTGCAATGAAAATTTTACTGAAACAGCCAATAGAAAATACTGGGTATTCCTCTGCAATTCTGGCACTGCAGCAGAGCTGGTACCTTTGGATTCTTGCTGTGTAAAGCCCAAATCCAATTATTTGGGACAAAAAACTGCATTCTTCCAAAGAACACAACTTTCATCCCATTCTATCATAATCTAATGGTCAGGGCATGGGAAGCCCATGCTCTGTGTGCCCACCTGACGGGAGGGAATGGGCACTTCAGTCCCTCCTCAGGTTTCTTCTCTGTTTTATGTATCAGTAAGATGTAGCGCTGAATGTAAAATACACTCCCCTAAGGCCTGAGCTGGCTGTCAGGAAAGCTTACCTAAGGAGTGGAGGTATCTACACCCTCCCTCTCAGGCAGAGGACTGAATCTGGCTGGTTTGCGTCTTACTGAGTGCATTAACCATTTAAACTGTTCACAGCTCAAATTCATTTTTCTTCTGGACTCTTTTTTTCTCCCAAAAGAAACTACCCACAGATAAATTTCTGGTGTGCAGAAGGATGATGAGAGTTTTAAAGAGAGAGAATTGTAAAGTCTGCTCTCCCCCTTGTCAGTCATTCTTGCCCTCTTGATAGATGGGAGAGATCTTGCCCTTCCTCCAGTCATCGGGCATCTCTCCCATTTCCCATGATTTTTCGAAGATGATGGAGAGCAGCAGAGCAACAACATCTTTCAGCTCTCTCAGCACCCATGGGTGCATCGCTTCAAAGCTCATGGATTTATGAGTGTTAATCTGTCCAGCCTGTCCCTAACTCAACCCTCTACAACCAGGGGGAAGTCTTCCCTTCTCTGGCCTTCTCTTACTTCTGAGGTCTGTGACCTCCAAGGGCTGTCCTTAGCAATGAAGATTGATGCAAAGAAGGCATTCAGAAGTTCCTCCTTCTGTGAATCTTCTGTTACCAGGACAACCCATCTGATTCAGCAATGGCCCCACATTTTCCCTTATCTTCCTTTTGCTGCTGATATACCTGTAGAAGCCCTAAGGAAGTCCAAAGTGTAACTGTAAATTATGTCCTCTGTCCATTCATGATTTAAGCCAGTCTAAGAAAAGAAAAAAATTATTGTGAGTTGTTGATCATGATCATTTAGAGAGTCATAGGAAGTAGCAAAGTAACAAATAAGCCTGTCGCATCTATCAGTACTTTAGAAGCCTTTGTCAAATTAAGTCTCACTAGAGATGGCAATGATCCAAAGTTGCTTCAATGTAAATTATCCTGCTTTAACAAACTGAGTTGGAGGGTTTAGTCTTCTTCACTAATCAGCACTCCTGTTGCAAAAGAAAATTGTTCAGAGGCAAGGAGTGGGTTAAAGAAGGACCGTTTACACTTGCTTCTGCTTGAGTAAGTGGAAAAAAGGACGCATAACTGGAGGCATTTTATTACAGTGCATACTAACATAGAAGTTACAGTCATCAACCTGTGTTCAAAAATTAAAGGCTCAGATGGAAAAAGCTGTCAGATTTAGGCTTTCCAGGAGTCCTACATTCACAAATAAAGTTAGAACTTCAGAAAGGATTAAAACAAGGATTTGCTTTGTTTCTCACGTGGAAGAATGACTACCTTCTCATTTGCAACACTTTCTGCCTGCAGGTTTGCACTTCTATTTGAGCTTTGAATGTGATTCAAATCAATATGTCAATAAAACTCTTCACTTTCCTGTACCTGTACTTGTCAACTATGCCAGTGCAGTTCTTGGAAAAGAATATTGCGATAATTTGTTTTTGCTTTGTAAGCTGGATGGCTGCCTGCACATTCATATGGTGCCATAGCACAGTATTTGCTATTGTTCCCTGGCTTTATTCTTTATTTCTCAGTCTCATGAAGCACCATTGTTTCCTCATTTTACATTTTGTTCAGTTCTAGTAGGTGTAACATTTTAAATTGTTGACACGTTACATAGCCTCCATAAACTGGAAAGCATGTTCCATGTCTGACACAATCATAGCTCCTTGCTGCACTTTCCCATTGAAGTAAATAGACATTTACTGTATTTCAGACCTATAAATGGCACCATGAACTCTGAGGAAGTATTAAGATGTAAAACTTCAGTGCAAACCGATTAGTGTGACTGGTTTTATTTAAGTAAGTTTTATTTGGTATACTGTAGTTTGTTGCCAGCAGCAGAGAAATGAATACCTGTAGCTATCTGTATTTATTCTGCGTTTCTGAGAACACATCATGTGTGTGTGTGCCTGAGCAACCACCTGGAAACACTTCAGACTTGTCGTTGCAGGATCCAGTCTTAACAGCCACGGAGTGCTTTGGTTCTTCCCCTCTTCCCATTGCTGCTGCAGCTCTCCACATGTTACCTTGGTGAGACTTTTGTAATCTGTGTCAGGCCTTTAAAACTGTATGTGATGATCCCCTGTGCAGCATTTGTCAGAAAAGACTAGTTAATTATCTTCAAGGATACAAAGCAACCCATTTTGCAGTGTCAAGTAGACACTGGCATACAAAGTCTAATACTGACTGAAGCTCTTTCTGTAACATGTTACTCCAGTAACACCTGCCTCGCTATTTCTTGTTCCTCTTCATGCTATGTTGAAAGATATTCATGCTGCTGATAGTCTTGTCCTTATCTAAGTGTGTGTTAATAAAGGTGTTGTGAGCTGTCTTAGCTTTGTCCGTGATGGTTTAGCTTTTGTAACACAGATTTGTTCACTGTAATTAAATGGCAACAATGAATCACCTTGTTGATTGCAAGGTAAATGACTTCCCTGAAATCATACTGTACAGCACACATCATTATCTACTATCTTTCTCCCCTTAACAGTAGACTTTCATTTGAAAGTGTAGTACTCTGCATTTGCCCCATTCTCTTATCCTGGTAGATAACAGTATCAAGCAGAAACCAAGAGCTATGAAACAAAATTGTGATAGCCATAAAGTGTGATTGCACTATATTAATTTGTTATTAGATGGAATTGCAAAACTGCTGTTGAGACAGCAGCGTGAGTGTGGATTAAAGTCCCTGAGGTTAGCAATTTCTTCTGTCTTGTGTTCTGGAAACATAGGATGGTGAGAATGGCTTGTAGTGAGCCAGAGCAAGGATGATCTGGGTTAAACAGTTTAGCAGCTCTACAGACTGATTATTCTAGTTCAGCACTGGAAGAGGTCAGAGCAGACAGCCCGCACTGCAGTGGCAGATAATGGCAACTGCTTGCTACCCATAGAGCCTCAACTCAGACTGAGACTGCACAGTAATATTTTGGGGGTTTTGGAGATTTGAATCAGTGACTTAAGTCAAGTGTAACAGGAAATTTGAGGAGTTATTTTCCCCAGAAACAGCTTTCCCCATCACCTGTGTGCGTCAGAAAAAGAGTTTTCCAGTGCTACTCACAGAAGCATTACAGAAATCATCAGCCTTCAAATAGGCATCCTTTATTTTTAACCCACTGAAAACTACTTGTTTGTTCAGGTTGAGTGTTCCTCTGCGATCACAGGAAGCTATTGAAATGGGCTGCAGAGACAGGATTCAGGAAGAAAATGGAGGGAGACGTAGTAGTTGCAGATACACTAGCTGCAGTTTTCTCCAGCTGTTTTTCACCAAAAGCATTGCACACTCTTTCATGAACAACAGGCCTGCTGTATTAAAGTGTGTAAGATGTGCTAAATAACACGGCCCTTGCTCACGCAGGCTGAAAATGCATGGGTCAGATGCAAAGATAGTGCAAGGCTACGATCATCTTGAAGTTGAGCCTGTTCATGCTACAGCAGGTCTGGCTAACGATGTTGCATGTTTAGCTGTCTTGGATATGATTCCGAATAGGAGAACGGCTTTATTCTTCTACCTTAGTCCTGCAAATATTTGTTTCTGGAGTATTTCTACCCTCAGCATTTCTACTGTTGAAGAGCCGCATCAGTGAGGAGGGCTGGGTGGACCCAGCCATAAGGCACTACAACCTGGCGGTACTGGGTGAAAAATACCCTATTCTCCCATTGGACAAAGCACTTCACCATGCACCAGAGGTGAGTGGAGGAGCCCTCTGAAGTCCATAGTGCCACACGGGACAGAGCCGACATCGAGCTGCTGCTCAGGGTGGGGCTTTGAGTCACATTCATCCCCAGCAGCCAGGAGGTAGGGTCAGGCACCAGCTCCTTCAGCACATTGTCTGCGCTGTGGCTCTGCTCCCGCAGCTCCTAGGAGGAATGGATGTGAACTTGGTCACAGTTCTGGCCGTTCTGGCAGTCGCGGTTACTCAGACGTCTGAGAGTAAGTACAACTGCACTGTGTCTACTTCTGTGCTTCAAACTCCTTAGAGTAAACGAATAAAAGGACACAAAGCGTGTCTACCTGGAATTGTGTCTGCTTGAGCTTTTGCAGCTCTCCATGGGACAATAGACAATAGTTCAGAGGTCTGTGCTCGGAGGATTTACAAAGTGAAATCTGGCTGTCTTAAACAATTGGCATTTGTTTCAGAGGAGTCAAGGTTTCACCTGAGCATTTCCTCAATATTTCTACAATAGATAGGGTGGCTTTATGATTCTGTAAAATGGCTTAAACAAGGAAAAGCCAAGTGGGCTTATCTGTCATAGCAAACATTATCAAGAACATCATAGCTGAGCAATTTTAACTTCTGAAGGTATAGGACCTTTAAAGCAGTGATTTCCTGAGGTAACACCTAATAAAATGTCACTATTTGTTTAAGGGGATCTCTGTAGTTCACCTGAAAGTTCCTCCTTTCCAAGCTTCTCAAGACGAAGTATGTTTAGAAATCACTTGCTCTTTCTCCTTTAAAGTGAAATCGCCTCGGATGGCAAAGATTTCAGAAAACTTTTAATGACACATAACTGATTTCTCCCAGCAGAAAAGCAGTTTTGCATGCTCTGTGTTTGGTGCAGCATGTCTCAAGTATTCAGAAGATCTGCATTTTCACTGAAATTAAAAAATTTAAACTTGATTAGCCAGTGCTGTGCTTGAAGTCTTAGCTCTTCCTTGTAAATTTCTACTGTAAAATAAGCTGTGTTCACAGAGAAGACAACTCAAATTCCAGAGCACTTCAGCCTTAGAGTTTTCCCTTTCTCAAGCTCCACTGGCTTCAGTAGGAGTAGGAATTGTGGAGTTCTTTGAGGATTTAGACTACATGCAGGCAAAATCTGCCTTAAAACTCTGTCCTGTTAAAATGGCCACTGCACCTGCTGGCATGGGAAGGCTCTGCAGGAGCTCTTCTATTAGATTTATGATCTGGCCACTCAGCAGCATCTTGCACAATAAGACTGGCATGTACATGCACAGGTCAAAGTAAAGGTTCTCATAGAACACATTCTTTTATACTGAACCATTTGGCACAGGGGAAATACCTTCACCACCTAACTTTCCTCATGCAAACATGCTCCATACTTAGCAACAATATTCAAACAGCAGAACCCACAATAAAAATGGGGAGAACCAAAATGTGGGTATCTGGGTACAGGTACATTGTACCCTCATCTGAACTAGATTTAGGGTTAACCGTAATTAGACTTAGGCTTCTTAGGCTGGCCATTATGCATCCATTTATTTCAGCTTCACAGTACACATAATACAAACAAGATTTGGGCTGCTACATGCAAACTTGCAAAAGTTTCCTTTGCTTGAGGATATGAATTGGTAGCCTCTGGCAGAGGCCAGGAAAGCTGTCTAGCAGCCGTAATTACACCCAGCCACATTCAGGAACATGACCCTGCCAGGCAGAGCCAGAAAAGAGATCTAGGTTGTTCTGTAGGGCGTAAAGGAGAATTTTTCCGCCTGTAATATAATTCAAAAGAAGTTTTTGCAATTTCACTTTAACCCCCCCCATTAATCTTCCGTCATCCCGTCTCAGTGCCAGGGATTTAGAGAGCCATCTCTCCTGCAGTGAGGTGGGCAGCACTGCATGGCAGAATAATGCAGCAGGTCAGGCAAGGGGACCTATTTCAAAGGTGGTTGGTTTGAATCTCAGTGTGAGAAGACAGAAGTTCTCTGTCAGAACTCCTACATGCATTTCATCTTGAAGACAGGAAAAGAGAAACTTGATAATTCTTGCACAGTAAAGCATCCAAAGCAAGTGGTGAATGCTACAGGGTAAGAATAACAGCTAAATAAGACTGTCTGGGTCTTCCCAAAGGAGTTAGATAGTTATCATGGCCAAGTTATTCCAGTAATGCTGGTCTGGTCAGAGTAAGAGTGATCTGTGCAGTGTGGGAGATGGGTTCCCTCTTATCAAACGGTATTGTTTCATTAAAAAAGCCAGATGTATGTTCATGTGACAGCTTCTTTTTGCATCTTAATGTGCAGGTCATTATGTGGTTTGTTTTTGCGAGGGACAGTGGAAATTTCACCTTCTGGAATGGCACTGGATATTAGTGTTTGTTTGACCACATCAATATTACAACTCTGCTTTGCCAGTTTTCAGCCTCCCTTTCCTAGATGCTTTGTAGTCCAGGGCATCCAGGATGTTGTATGGGGACAGTCAGCTTGCAAACTGATAGAGATTTGATGGACAAAGACCCATTTGAAAATCATGACCTATATGACAGACCCATCTGTCTACCTATAGTCAGCCTTCCACCCTTGAAAATGTCTATATTAGCATCAGTTGTCATAGCAGAATGAGAAAAGCATCACTGTATTACTTCATTTGTGTTTATTCTTGGTCATAAAATTGTATGGTATGATTTATATAGTTATATATAACAATTGATGCTTTATTTATTGTTGGTTCCACCACTTCAGCAAGCATAGCTTAGAATCCCGTCTATCTTTTCTTTATCTCTGTCTCAGAATTATGCTTTAACTGTATTACCAGGCACCCAAAATAGTAGGATGCATTAGAGCATTTTTCAGCAGTTTACTTCCCTTCTCATCTCCAGCTATTAAGCAACCTCCTTGCTTTTACAGAGTACAGCTATGTTACATTTGCCAAGGATTCTAGCATCCTGCTTTGTTCACCTGCCAATCTGGATCAGAGCCTTCTGCCTAATCAAATACTGACTTGCTTTAAGTTGAAATGAAAAGGCCTGATTTGAGATACTGAACTCCTAAAATAGCATCAAGTTTGGTTTAGATGAGAGGAACATTTTTCTGGCAGCTTCGTGCACAAAGGAATACTAAATTATCTGCTTTAGAGTAGTTAATATAAAGTGTGGGTGTTGTGACAGTAAGTTTCCTTCCAAGGACAGAACCTGAATGCTATTCATATACCTACAACACCAGATTAAGAGCTCAGACTTTACTGAAATGGCTGTATTGAGACCAGAGCATTTAAATACGTATCATGTTCTGACTAAGCAAGATATTCATCCGATTAATCAACTTTTTCCAGATGTACAAAACCTACTCTGTAACCACAAAAGAATTCCAGCAGAAAACACTAATCCCTGCTGTTAATAGTCCCAGGTGGGCCAACGTTGTGCAAGAGGCGCAGATTTGCATCGGTTCATTGTGAACCTGAGGCATGCTATCAGCAGGTCTCACATTTCAGCATAAGAAGTTCCTCAGGTTTATGGATCTCACTGTGCAAGAGAAGCTGTCCCAGACCACACAGTATGTTGGGAGAACCCATTCTGCTTAAGAACTACATGTATCTTTGCTGGGATCCCTTAGTCTGTGTAAGTGCAAGAACTATCTTTTGGAGGGGTTTTGTTACACGTGCATTTTGTTACACAGCATGGCCTTTTGCACAGCAGTGCATAGGTCACATCCAGTTCACAAAGGTCACCTAAGGGCTCTGCCAGCAGTACTGACAGTCTTTTCTATGCTGCCAGCAGCATTCAGGAGGGACCACCAAGGGCCTGCTCAAAGCACTAACTGCTGGAGTGAAACCTGCCAGGAAAAGAGCTGCACAAGCCCTCCCTAAGACAGCTGGGCTGGTTCTGGAGCAGAGAGAAATCAGGGCCCAAAAATGCCTTTCCCACTGTTCTCACCTAATGGCCAGCTTTCCCTACCGTGTTTAGTCAAAAGAGGCCAAAATGAAAACAGAGCTAAGAGCAAGCACAAGGGTGGGCACATTATGGCACTATCACTCACCATTTATTTCCATGTGACTTCACCTCCTCTTGTTTCTCCATCTGCCCACCCTTCATGAGGCGAAGACCTGCCCTGCCATGTTAGATTTTCTGCAGAAGAGTCTGGCTGAAACAATGGCTGCTCTTTCTCTTTGCCAGTGGTCTGCCCTACCCATACTGACAGAGCAACCCCGTCCTACCTGCCTAAAAGCTGCAGCCAGGGAGCAGCAGAACAGAGACCAGCTACTCCTACTGTATGCCATAGGAGGGCTCTTTATCAGGCACTACAGTTTCCCTAAATGAGTAGGCAAATCTAAGAATATCAGCTCAAAACTGAAGAAAGAGGGGAATGTTCTTTGTTGCCCCAGAAACTGAGCAGGCAACAACAATTGCTTTTCATATTTCTTGGCTGCACCCCAGATGATAAGGCCTTCCTCAGCGGTTTAGTATGTGGCTCTCGAGTTTGACAATGATGACAAAAAAGAGCAAACCAAAAAGGATGAGAAAAGTTTCTATGGACTAACTTTAGCCAGGTAGCAGACAGCAAATGGAAACAAGAAACTTGACAATCAAAGAGACTTGATACGATCAGCAGAAGCTTAAAGACAGGTAAAATGAACAGTACCCATGGAGTCTCACAGACTTTAGGGACTCTTTTCCATTTAGGAGCAACATTTTACTGAAAGAGCTTCTAACAGGTCTAGCCGAATGCAGGTGAAAACAGTCCTCTAGTTGACAACTGCTCTTGATCCTTTCAGCACTAAGAAAGTGACTGAATACTGTGCCACCAAGATTTGAAGGGCTTCCAAGAAAACAAACCACTGTCCACCAAGTCCTTGGCTAGTTGTTTGACCAACTAGCAGCATTTCAAAATAATTCAGAATTTCATGGATGTTTTTCCTTTTTTAAAGAAAAAATCAGGTTGTCTTTTTTTTTTTTCAAATCTGCTAAACAATTTATTCTCAGTAGAAAGGCAAAGCTTTCTCTTCTTTCCACTCCTTTTGAAATTGATAAAGCTGTATAAAGCATGCTAAATGCACCCAGCATAATGAAAAGATCAGCACTATTGTATTCCACAAAATGCATGCATCTGAAAAGGAGGTCTTTTCTAAGCATCCTTAGAGAGAAAGTGGGGTGAGTGAAGGTATTTTTCCAATTAATATCTCACTTGCCCCCCATAAAGGTACTTCATTTGCTCCAGTAGACTTTTCTGCAAGATTGAAGATGGCATTTCAAGATATGGAACACAACATTTAAAAACCAATAGGTCTTCCCCTGGTGAGAGTTCCCACGGAAGAAATACCAAACCAGATAATACCACCTGCTGAAGTAATGACAGGGCAATCCCTGAGTGGACCTGTCTCAAGGCCCATCAGTGAGCTTGTCAGTTCTTTCAGCAGCTCCATTAGCTTTCTGGTTAAAGATGCTCAGTGTCAGACAACAGGTCTAAATGATTCTGGGTAAGCAGCTGTGGATTTCTGATTGTGCCACTGAGCCATAGAGACAAATGAAATGCGCAGCACTGAAAAAAATCTCTTTGACTGATAAATAACATTCAAAAGGCCATGCAAAGATCCTTGTGAAAAACCACAGTTCTTTGCTCTTAGCCATAGTTTAGACCAATGATTACTAATAAATCTGATCTAATTGCTGAAAACACAGAAGACAGAGTATTGGGTTGGGCTGAAATCATTAGCTTTGCTTATTGTCTCCTGGTTTCTTTTCACCTGTGGGATTAGCATGCAGTTACAGCAATAATGGACTGCGCAAAGGAGCTGCAGGATGACTCAGTGCTCCATTAGAGCAGCATGCCCTCCCCTGGGGCTCTGAGGAAATACAGGAATTCCTTGGCTCCTGCCGTGGTCCCGCTTCACGCTCACACTTAAAAAAAAAAAAAAAACAAAAAAAAAAAACAAAACAACAACAAAATTTTTTTAAAACTGATTCCCATGTAAAAAGGTAACAGTTACCACAAGTGCCTCTGTCAGCACAAGGCTGCCGATGACATTTTCATGCTGCCTGATGAAAAGACCCTGATGCCATGTATTCATCTGTGATTCAAAGATAACTGATTTTTATTTTCCATACGGTAGCTGCACTTCCCTGCACAGAACAACGACAACATTATTTAAAAGTGACAGCTTCTTCTTTATCAGAAATTAGCGCAGATCAAAATTTCTCAAGACAAGCACCCATACACACCTATGAAAGCAAGACAGCATCCCTTGTCTCTGAGGCACACACCTCAAATAAAAGTTACTAACAGCTTCTCGATCTCCGTAAGAAATGCTTTGCCTCTTTGGACAAGAGCATAAGCACTACCTCATTTGCATTTCATATCAAATTTCAGTCTGCTTTCTGTTAGTGTATTCACCAGTCTCCCATACAATCTGTTGCATGCCCTCATGTCCAGAGGCACAGCTTTTGCAATAGCTGCATAAATTAGATGTGAGTGGCCTCATGTTCCAGTTCAAAGATGACTGAGCATCAGGTAGTTGAATGCACTCTAAAACTGTTATTCTAGTAATGTGAGTGATACATAAAGGTGCAATTGCAAACAAGATTCTGAAAGATGCAATTCCTGTTGGCTAAATTCCCTGCAAAAGGGCAGTCACACAAGTGGTAAGTGTGATACAAGCCCACTCAAGAACTGTATCAAGAATTTTGCTTTATTTTCCTTATATGAGTTTTTGCATGTTTTTCCTCACAAAGCTATAAAAGTACCTCAATGTTAATTTCATAACTTTCAGTTATACAGTGTATAAATTATAACATAGTGCTATATACTAGATGATCTTTGAAGGTCTGTTCCAATCCAAACTATGCTATGATTCTATATAGTGATATGTATTGCACTATAAAGTGATGTACAGATGGTTCAGATCTGAAGATTGAAGAAAGTGATGTGTTTAAGTACTTAAAGTGGGATGAGGGCAAGAGATTGTAGGCAGGCACTGGGCAAACCAGGTAAGGAAGAGTTCAGGAGACAGCTGCCTCATCCTAAGACCTTCTGTAATATCCAGCCATTCCACAGGAGGGTGGCAGTGGTTGCCTTGTCAAGTATTTAGGTTCATTTATACCTCAAGGAAGCACAGGGCTAGACCTCTCCAAAAAGCACAACCATCAACCTCAGATAAAGTTTAAGCTATCAGATAATTACCCTTCCTTGAGTTTTTATACCACAGAATCCTTCTGCCAGGAGTTGATGGCAACAGTAGAAGTACATATGTCAGTGTTACCAGTGCTGTCTTGAGTCCTCAGAAAAAATTAAACTTAGTGGCACTCAGTGAGCTGAATTCCTGTCTACAAACACCAATTAACTGGCTTCACAAATAATATGTTGTTGAAGAGAGAAAAGCAAGGGGCAACAGGGAAATACTGCAGGTAACAATTAATTAATCCTTCTGCACAATATGATTATTTACCGCCCTCCTTTTGGTTTGCTGAAGAGGCAACTGCTAGCTCAGCTGCTTTCCTTCACCCTCCCTTCTGGCTGCACAGTCCCAGGGCTGTGCCACCAATCCCAATGGTATTAAAGCTCCCTGCAAGCTGCAGCTGACTGGTGCTCAGTGACTCCTGCTGTATTGCTGGCTCAACCAGCATCTGCTATCCCAGTGCTCAGCAAGCACCCTCGCAAAGAACAGAGCACGCAGTCTTCTTACAGGAAAACTTTTACACAGACTTCTCATCTCCTGCTTACAGGAACTGAAATTGATTCTCCTGCTTCTTTTTATGTTGCTCTATGATTTCTGTGCTCCAAGACCAAATGATTACTTAAGGAACAGCACAATTTACAGGCTAGGAAAAAAAAATAAAAAAATGTCAAAGCAAAGAGGAAGAAGACTTTCTCCCTACTTTTCCCAGATGAGTTCACAGACAAGAACAAACACTGGAGTCCTTGCTGTGCTTGGTTTGATTCTGAGACCCTCACATCCTTGGTAAATCCCTGAGCCACATAGCTTTGCTTGTCCTTGATCTGATGGATGGAACCCTTTTAGAAAGCCTCTTTCTGTGCTAGAGCAGAAGAAAATTGAACACCAAAATGTTAGTATTTTTCATCCAAAAAATTGTGAGTTATGATCTGCCTTTTAAGGTTCAGTGTTTTTTTATTTTCAATATGCCATTAGCAAGCAGGAAAAAATCTGCAGGAGGTCATCCTCTAGTGAAGATACATTCAGCCATGGCAGCTCCTGGGACAAAAGAAAACACAAAACCCAGCAACAGCATTAATAATCTCAATCCATAATCATCCTGATTCAACCTCACAAGGCAGAGCTTTTAAATTAAGCTCCTGTCACTTCCTGTGTAATTAATGTTGCTATTATTTTTATTTTACTGTAACAAGCCTTTAATATGTGTGCACAATGAGAGGTGGAGGAAGCTGCTCTTTAGACAACAAAAACATTCAACTGTTTTGTGGGAAAAGGTGATGAATAAAGCCAGGCAGCACTATCTGCTGTGGGCCAGTAAGGAAAGGAAGAAGAAACCTGTTTGGTTTGCCTGTTTGGTTCACAGAATCATGAGGGCCTGATAATGAGGGAAAATGAACAAATTCATAACTCGCCTGGCCACAGAATGGCTGCTTGCCTCACTAAATGGCGTTCTCTATGCTGAGCACATTACCAAAGGATGTGAGCAGGGGACAACAGTCACAGGGTCAGTGGAGGTGATCCTTCCCCTCCATTCAGCAGTAGTGAGGCCGTATCTGGAGAGCTGGGTCCAGTTCTGGGCTCCTCAGTACAAGACAGACACGGACTCACTGGAGACAGTCCAGTGAAAGGCCACAAAGATGAAGAAGGGGCTGGAGCATTTTGCATGTGAGGAAAGGCTGAGAGAGCTGCGACAGTCCAGCCTGGAGAAGAGGCTCCAGGGAGTTCTCATCAAGGTGGTGTAACCATCATTCCCATACCTGATGGGACTGAAAGAAGGTGCCAGACTCTCTGCAGTAGTGCCCAGTGACAATGGCAATGGGCACAAATTAAAACACATTAAACAATCTGAACACAGGAAATTACTTTTTGTGTTTTTTTTTTCTGTGAGGGCAGTCGAACACTGGAGCAGGTTGTACAGGTATCTTGTGGAATCTCCTCTGGAGATATTCAGAAAGCATCTGGACAAGCAGCTGCATGTGGCCATGCTTAAGCAGGAGAGGCTGGACCAGATGACCTCCAGAGGCCCCTTCCAACCTCAACCATCCTTTGATTTTGTGAAGTACAGCTATGACTTCTCCCCTTCATATCTCTGTTGTTTCTAACATTGTTGTTACTGTTTTTAGCTTTGTTTCCTGGGGCATTTAACTGTTGCACGAAAATTTCAGATGAAATTCCCAAAGCGATTCTCCGAAGAGTGGAGAGGTTTGAAATCCAGAAAGCTGATGGCCTGTGCCACCTAGAAGCTGTTATGTAAGAGACGTTTTGGGTCCTTCACTGTGTAACGGGTATTGTTTACTTAAAACCTATTAGGTGCCATTTAAGCGAGCAGAACCTTAGAATGCTAACAGAAATTCAAGAAAAACAAGATTTAGGATTTTGTGTGGTTTCAGAACTCTCCTTCCTTACGCTGTTTAAACTTCTGATTGCTAAAACTGAATTTCCTTTCACTAAGAATATTGATCATTATCCAGTCTGCACTAACTTTGACACTTGCTTTATTTTCAGAACTGAAGAATGACTCATGTACCTTAAGACTTCTTTTGAACTACTGATCAATCAACTACTGATCCTCTACAAGCCTTGCCTAAATTCATTAAATCTTCTTTATTTTTGTACATCCGCATTTCTTTCTTTTTTTTTTTTTGGCTAGTACTGTTTGGGGATAAATGGGTAAATTTCAAAGAAATCCTGAATATTTTTTATTTCTAGATATTTTAATTATTATTGTAATAAGAATAATTATGTGGTCTACTTATTTATTGGCCATAGAAATGTACTATTTTGCACTGTGGTTCTTTTCAGACCCACTGAAGTAGTAAAGCTTTTTTCAGATTTTGGAAGACAAGTGTAATCGTACAAACTTTACACCCTAGCTTTTACAATCAGACAAAAGTGACTAGCCATAGTATAAAATATAATTTATGATTAACAAATTCTCGCTTTGTGGTCTTCATAGGTGAGTGATAAGTATGATCATCTTTTAAATGTTCGGGGGTTAAAAATTTTTCTTTGAAACTAACAGCCATTTTTTGCTCTGGCAGTCTCTACATAGAAGGCAGAAAGTTTTGTGTGAGCCCACGGATTAGAAAAGCTAAAAAATGGATGAAGAAGAATAAGCACAGGACTCCCAGAAAGAAACTCCATGGTAGAAAGCAGAGAAGAATCAGAATTATTAAAAGAAGAGGGAAGAAACAATAACAAGACAAAGCAAGCTCCATGATGAAGATACCTGTGGCATATGGCATTTTGAACATAGATACCAGACTTTGTCAATGATGGATGATTGTAGCATTAAAATGACTGTTCAAGTACCTAAGTGCTAGAGAAAACAGTGGCAGAAAACATCACCTGTACGTAAGAATAATGCTGCTCAGATTACCAGTGAGATGACAAGATGTTCCTGACAACGCCTTGTAGCAAGCATTCCGTGTATTTAAATTCAGACCTAAATCCTCCTCTCTCCCACCCTGTTTTCACGACAATCTCCCCTGTAATTTCTATTTTAACATGCCAGTATGCAGTTCCTCCTCATTGATCCATTTTCCCAGTACTGTTCTTGGTCCTTCTTTGTCTGCAATCACCTTTGTCGCCTGTTTTGTTTCTATTCTTCCAGTCATTCTTTTATTTCTTCTTAAAATTTTACAGATAGCTTTCCAGATACTAGTTTTGTTTAACTGGCCAAAACCGTATATCTTTTACCTGTTCCAAACAACCTCTGCTCTTGGCTGTTAATATCATGAAATATAATTTCAGTGATAATAACCGAGCTTGTTTATCGAGCCCAAAGTGTGGCATCTGGAGCTATGCAACAAAGATAATCTCTACTGACTTTGTTCATTCAATTACCTGTTCAAACTTCAGATGGGTCCTTCCTACCCTCTTTGCTGAATTTCTAGTAACTAGCATTGAAAATTGCACATATCTGTCAAAGCCTTTCTTTGTAGACTAATTGTGATGCTGGTCTGACTAATGACTAGTGACTATGCCACACCATAACCTCCCACCCACTGCTCTGCACTGCCTTCTCCTGTGTGGCACAGTCCCCAGTTCCCTTGCTCCTTCCTTGGAAATTTCAAACTAATTTACTATTTCCGCAAAACCACCTCAGTCAAAAGCACTTTTCCTCAGAGGCATACGTGGGAAGCAGTAAATGAGGGAAAAGAAGGGTTTCAAAAAGAGTGAATGCCACAGAATGCATACCTTAAATATTTACTTAGCTAGCAAAAAATACTCAGTATACAGCATAATTCTGTTCTTCATCCTTTTCCCCTGCTAATTACTGTTTGTTCCCATTCACTGCATTTGACTTAGATTAGCTCCTCAGAGTTGTCTCTTGGGTTTGTTCGGTAATTGTTATGTCTAACCACATACTGCAAACATGGGAGAAAGCATGGCAGATGACAGTAGATAGAAACAGCCACTTTTAGTTCCCTAAATAAAATAAGGATGAACATCTGTACAAGGCAACTACAGAACAGGTAGCATACTCCCACAGATGCACATCTGATGAAACGAAGTGACTCCTTTCAAAACAGGTATGAAAAAACAAGAAATTATCTTCCCTGATGAGCCAATATCCTCCTAACATCTCTATCATCTAATTCCTCTTCCAGTTTCTAGGGAATATTGTGTACACCATTGTACATTGTACCATATGCCAACATACACTATTGTTTATGCTGGCATTTCTACATCCTCTTCCTGCTGAAATGACATGCAGGAAGCTTTCTGCCAGGAGCAGGAGCTGGAATTGCTCTCTCTGACTCTGAATACGCACAGAGCATCTTCTTCCTGAATGCCATGATCAGCATGCTGGGGAGGCAGAGGATGGACCCTGGCTGATGCAAGCTGAAATGGCACACGTACGCCACCATTCCATCTGCACTCTGATGCTGCACTGTCTGGACACCATATGGATATAGTGAATGAGTGTTAGACAGAATTCAACCCTCCTGTGCCCAGGCCATCAGAGAGCCAAGAATGCTAGATTGCTAAAATATATAACACTACCGTATCTACATCTTACTGTTTCTGATAGTTCTATTTATTGTTTTCCTCATGCTCTGCTCCTGATTCCTGATTTTACCTTCACACTTCCCTCTTGAATCACAAGTTTCTAGGTGGGTCCGTGATGGCATCTCAGCTCCTCATAGCCTTCCCATCAATGCAACCAGTAGCCTTTTGAATGTATACAGTGTACCCGAAGTAAAGTATAGAGTGTACCCTAATTTCCATGCTTTTCTACCAGAGACCATCAGTATTTCACAGGATTAGAGCTGTGCAACTAGCTTTTCAGGCTGACACAGGCATGTCTGACACTCATGTGAACCATCTGCTTCACTTACAGAATCATTCAGTGTTTCCACTTGGTAAAGGCAAGTCAGGACAGTCTGGGAGATTTGAGAAAGAAGGGAGCAAAGTCAAGCTGACAGTACAGATGAGAAAAAGTGAAACTATGGCTGCAGTTGAGGCCACAGCAGCATCACCACCACGAGTGGAGTCTGTTATGGGAAGAGGAGGGAAGGGAAGACCCAATTGGTCTGGTCACAGGCTGATGGAAAGATCCATGCAGTCCTGGCTTGCAGACCTGTCAGTTTTAAGTGTGCAGCACAGCTGTGGTTCTCTCTCTGGTTGGAGCACAGTATCTGCTTCCTAGTGGTGACCTCCTTTTGTACTGTCAGCTTTCCTGGGCCCCACATCTTAGATTTGCATCTGTTCAACAATTACTGCTTCACATTTGAAATTCTGTAACGCTGCAGTTCCCCCTCCTGCACATAGGGTGTAAAAGCAGCAAAGTGTGATCTAAACACAGTTTTATAGTTTTAGTAACTGGAATTGTTACAATTTCACAAATACTCTAAAACCCAGCCATCTCTGCAACTCAAATATTATTGAAATGTCTGCATTTATTGGACCTACTTTAAGACAGGCTTTGATAGATTTGCTTACATTTCCCAGTTCTTCAGAGTGTGTGTTATTGTGTATCAGGTCTCCTGGAGTCAGCAGATCAAATCGAGATTACCAGATGGCAGAAGTCCTCTACCAGCTGCTAGCTGTATTTCAAGTTTGGGGTCCTGTGCATTCTTCTGAGAACTGAATTAGAAATAACTTCTACTAGTCATTCAATCCAGAAAACTTTCTCACTGGGAGTGAGTGAACAAACTACCTGACTGGGTTTAAACCACGACAATACTGCATTAAGAACAGCCTTAAAAGATCTACTGTCTGGTACAGTTTCATCTATCTCTGAACCCTAAAACACAAATATGTAAAAGAAAATCCTTCCAGTTTCCAAACCTTCACTCGGTGACTTCACACTCCCTTTAGCTGAGCACTGTTTTTGACCTTTGCTATTTTGTGCTTGGCAAAAAAAATAAAATCAATACTTTTTTTCAGTAAAATCATCTCAACATCTTGTTTTGTGGAAGAGATTACTATTACACATGACATTGTTTTCCTTGAAAATGCCAGGTAAAGCTTTCTTTTCAATGGGTTTAGGCACCTAAAGATGTAGTTGGCTGCATCTCAAAATCCCAGTGAGAATTTTAGTGACTTAGAAGTGTAGCTCCCATTTATCCAGATTAAGCCTGTAATTAATATTCTTGAAATTTTTAATAAATTAACTCTTACACAGTTTTAAGAAAAAGCTTTAGTCATCTGTTTATTTTAAGAGTTATTAACCTAATACAACAGTCTCTATCTGTTTAGGAGGCTTTAGGAAAAAAAAAAGTCATGGAGAGAATTGCCAAAGAATTACTAAACAGAAGCAAAGAACCTGTTGGGTCTATTGTGACAAAATCAGCATCCTGAATTTGATACACTGGCTTAAAATGAGGTGAGTCATCAGACAGCAAACACTTCTCTTTCAAAACAGTACTGGATTAGGAGATCCTACCCACCTTTACACTTGAAAAATTGCAAGAGAGCCTCAAGTTCAAACTCCTCTTTTACCAAAACAGATTGGATTTAATGGATGAAGATGCTTCCTAGCAGCATCTGAGCATGTTTCTTCTCCAAGGTTATTCTGGGTTAGCATGCTGAATTTCTTTAGTAATGCCATCTCTATTAAATGGACCTCTCCTGTCTCAGGTTTCCAGTTCTAAGGTTACCGAGGTGCAGGATTCATTTTTGTACACTGGTCCCATAGAGTCTCAACCGAGAATCTCAGGGGACAGATTTGTCAAGCTATAGGGCCACAAAACGAAAACTTGTGTCATTCTTACAAGCTGGGCTGGAAACAGCAGCAATCACATGTCTGGAGCATAGTTTGGTTAGAGAACTATAATTAATTACCTAAGAAGCTTGGAACAAGATTTACCGAGACCTTTAATGTTATTACTGAGATCTTTTTTAGTTATTCATATAAATCAACTGTAGTCTGTTGCAGTAGAGGTACAGGCACATCCCTTCTTGTGAAAAAAATAGTATTTTTTTCTAGGAATTCTCTTGCAATATACTCAGTGACAGGAAAAGCAAATAGGAGCCTCATAAAGCTGAATAAAAAGAATAATACGACTGGCAGCAACTATAAAATAAATTGTAATGATTAATAAAAACAAGCAGTAAATATTAGTCTATAACTAGCTAATCATCAAACCAGTCTGCAAGACGAGGACAGCTTCCGTGAGTCCAGAAGAGGCCATGGAGATGATCAGAGGGCTGGAGCACCTCTGCTGTGAAGGCAGGCTGAGAGAGCTGGGCTTGTTCAGCCTGAAGAAGAGAAGGCTCCTTAAGGGGAGACCTTAGGGCAGCTCCCAGGACCTAAAGGGGCCAACAGGAAATCTGGAGAAGGACTTTTTACAAGAGCGTGTAGTGACAGGACAAGGGGGAATGGCTTTAAACTGACAGCTGGGAGATTTAGATTAGATATTAGGGAAAAATTCTTCACTGTGAGGGTGGTGTGGTTGTGCCCAGAGAAGCTGTGGCTGCCCCATCCCTGACAGTGTTCAAGGCCAGGCTGGAGGGGGCTTTGAGCAACCTGCTCTAGTGGAAGGTGTCCCTGCCCATGGCAGGGGGTTGGATGTAAATTTAAATTAGCATCTGGATCCAGAAACATCCTGAGGAGACAAATACATTGCTCTTAGCAGTGTAGGTCAGATACCTGGTCTCTGAATTTAACTTCAGACAACTATTAAGAAAATATGACTGCATTGTGTCCTTAATCTCAGTTTAAAATTCTGAAAATCCAGCAATTGTTCATCACATTTTACTTTTTAGCTTTCCTTCATCATCTGCACGGTGTAATCTTCAAACACACTTCAGTACTGAAACCATAGGAGAACATGGTTATAATTTTATTGCCTATAGACTGCTAATTTGTTAGGGTTTGTTTGTTTGGTGTTTGGGTTTTTGCTTTTGGGGGTTTTGGGGGGGTTTGGGTTTTGTTGTTTTGTTTTTTTTTGCAAATAAATGATTTTAAATTAATAGTAATGATTTCATGCATGTCTATGTCATGCTACCTTCTACAACACAGAAAGTTAATATCAAAGACTATGGGATGCCTTCCATCCTCTTGTACCGCAGACCATGGAAAAGAAAGCAATAATATAAATCATCTCCCCAAGCTGATCTTAGTCATTTTGGCACTTTTTTTTAATTAGATCTGTAAAGATGTAATAAAGGTAAGAACATTCATGTTTACATCTGTATTTACTGTTGACTACACACCAAAAAAAAGAATCACAAAAACCCATTCTGCCTTTACCATTTTGAAGGCAAATACGACATTTACCTGAAAACAAAACAAAACATGGCACTGTAAGCCCAGGCTCACAAGAGAGCAGATTTAAGCTTTCAGGGAGCAGTAAGGGCAGGTGAGCCAGGAACTGAATGTGACAACAAAGCTGGCAGGCAGTGACCTCGTTCTGACAGTGCCCAAACAAAAAAGCAGAGTGGGGCCAGCAACGGCAAGCAGGGTCACAGCGACTCCAGGTTTCCAGAGGAGTCCACAGTGACAAGCAGGCTGAAGGTGAGGCTGGCAAGTCAAGTCAGTGGGTCAGGATCAGCAAGGGACATAGACAGGCATAGGCATACCAGGCAGTGCTGCCCAGGCCAGGGCCCAGCCTCGAAGAGAGCTTCAAGTGAAGGGGAAGAGGCCACCCAGGCGACAAATCACAGCTCCTCATCACACATCTGTTTTCACTGCAGCCCCATCCCAGGCTACATGAACGCACTGTACCGGAGCTGGCCTTGCCCACAGGCAACTGAGCACCCAGGGAGAAGAGAACGGGGCTGCATGGTATCAGGGCACACTCAGCCTTGACATGAGATCCTGCATGGACTGCTTCAGCTCCTCCCGCATGTCTGCTCTTCTCTAAAGCCAGAACACACCAAGCACTCCAGTGACAGGAAACAGTTTGCCACCACAGCATATAATGAGAGGCTGGCATTTGGGGCCTATTTTCAAGTCTAGAAGAAGGACGCAGTTCCAGCTTCGGTTTTGTTTTGGGTTTGTTGTTTTTTTTCTTTTTTGGTTGTAGGAAGGGAAAAAAAGGAGGAATTGAAGTTTTAGATTCCCAGAGCAGAAGATCAACTCAAGGCACAGAAGATAGCAGTGTGACTACATGATGCAGCTATGCTACCATCTATTCAGTTCATATTTTGCCAACGTGTTTTTTTCAGCATTACAAATGGAACAAGCTTATCAAAGACTGCAAGGTGACACCTGCAAACAAAACTCTCGGTTTCTCAGCAGTATTTCTCAATCCTTGCACTACAAATAGTTCTGCAACAACAACTGTGATTTCAAATGATGATAACAGAATGTTCAATGTCTCAAGGACAGGAGTTAACACTTTTAAGGAGTTTTTTCATTTCTTTTGCATTGTTTTTACCTGCCCCTAAGGTGGTGAAAATAACACAGGTTTTAGTCTCTGATACAACAGTTGATCAAGGCAGTGTCTTTTGCTAGCTGTAGCAATCAGATCACACAGAACCTGACACCAGCTGCTAAAGGTGTGTTTGTTTTTTTTTTACTTGAGAGGTGTTCTACAACTAAATTATCCAGGCTTTAAAATGTGTGTTTTCTATTGACCAGATTCTCATCTGCAATGAAGGTTTGTACTCTCACTGACTCATCTGGGGATGCTCAGTACCCTGTGCAGCAATAGATTAGTACAGGGCCTAAAGGATACAGAGGCAGACATGCGGAACCCATATATTAGCTGTCAATGTCCCAAGTAACACCACCACCACGAGGTTTGGCTTGGCACTCTGTGGGTTTAACAAGTCTGGAAGACACTCTCGTCAGAACAGGACAATCCAGGGTAGGACATCGCATTTTCCTTGAAGCAACTTCCCCCCCCCGTGAGAGCCCCAAATGCCTCGTCCTGGCCTGCCAAGGGCTAGGGCTGCAGAGCGGTTTTGCAGGCCTAAACGTGGGGCTGGCACCACGGTCCCCGACTGCCTGCAGACCCCTCAGCCAGCCGCAGCCGCCCCACAGCCCCTCACCCGCGGCCACGGCCGCACGCGGGACAGCCCTGACAGGGCTAACCCCCACGAGCCCCTGCTGACTGGGGCCGGGCGGGCCTCGCCTCGCCTCGCGTTGCCGGGCAACTGCTTCCTCGCCTCGCCGGGGACCGGCAGCCGTCCTACTCTCACCCGCGGTCGGCAGCGCGCTCCCATTGGCTGCCCCCGCGCGGCGCTCAGCTCCCATTGAGCGCCCGCCGCCTCTGCCGCGTCCCCATTGGCGCGCCGCCCTCTGGCCACGCCGCGTCACTTTCTCACACCATTTCCCCCGCCTTCCCCGCGAGCTGCCGGCCGGCCGGAAGGCGGGACCTGTGCGGCTGCAGTGGTGATTGGCGGGCGGAGCTGCCGCTCAGGGGCCGGTGCGGCGGGGCTATTTAAAAGGCGGCGCACGCCGGCGCCCGGTGCGGTCTCCCGTGCGTGAGAGCGAGGAAGCGTGAGGCGCAGCGAGTGACACCGGTAGCCATCGCCTGTATCAGGTGAGTGCGGCTCGGGCTCCGGGAGTCCCGCGCTTCTGCGGCGGCTTTTCCATCTCTCCTCGGCCGCGGGGCGAGGAGGGAGCGGAGCCGCCCGCGGGCTGGGGCTGGGTTGGTATAGCTGGGAGCAGCGTTCTCAGTGGATGCAAGCGCGTTTGAAGTGCCTGCAGTGCGGCAAAAAGGGGGAAAAGATAAAAAAAGAGTGAAAAAGAAAAGGAGGCGTGCCTGGGTGTCTCTCCACGCGTGTCTCTCTTAACGCGGGTGCCAGTACACCCACCGCGTCGCGCGCTGCTCGGAGCATGGCGGAGCATCGTCCGGAGCAGTGCGGCGTGGGGCGCTCCCCGCCTGGGGCAGCCGTCTGAGCCATACTCCAGCCGAAGGAGTCGCGTCCCGGTGCCCCGGGTGCTGCCCCCGGGGGAAGCATCTCCATCCTGAGTGAGCCGTGGCGGGTGGCTGCTGCGGGACTTGACGGGCTCTGCCCGCACCTCGCTGGTCGGGAAGCTGCTGAAAGCATCGGCACTCTCGGCGTGTCACCTTACCGCCTCTCAGTGTCGCGACAGAGCGACAAGCCGGAGAAGGCTGGATGGGCGTATCCCCCTTCCCAGCCTCCCCCTCATGCCACAGGTAGTGGGATGCCGTCGCCTTCTTCCATGATGGCGCTTGTAGCCCGGTGCAGGTACCCCGGCACACACCCGGGTGCGGCCGCAGGCCAAGAGGTTTGGGGGCGAGGTATGGGGGGATGTTTCACGGCAGAATTCAAGGCACTGTCCCCACAGTTTGGGGTTGTTCCGCCGTTGGCCGGTCTCCCCGCAGCTTCCCCCGGTCCTGTCGGGTTGAGCAGTGTCCGGTACCGTGGCGAGTGCCCTCGACCCGGGTGGAGGCAGCCACCTCCCGCGGCGTGAGCGAGGTCTTGCGAGCGCCCGGTGCGGCGGGGTGCCTGCCTGATGTCGCTGCTGAGGCTGCCGGGTCATCGGGGGGTGACCTATGAAGAGGGGCTGAAGTGTCCCGCAAGTATCCCTGCTGCCACCCGACAGGTCGGTGTGTCTGCCAGCTCCCCCTGAGCCGGGAGCTGCTCAGGGGAGCCGCTGAACCCATAGCAGCGTTGTCCGTGGCGAAAGGCTGCAGGCTCAGTTCTTAACTTCCAGCCAAGTGTTCTGCAGGAGTGAAGGACTTCAGCGGCAACTGATAAAGTCAAATTATTGTCAGAATATTCACAGTTGTAGAAATATTCTCAAATATATTAATATATGTACCAGTGCATATTCTTAAATATGCAATAGTTGACACAATAAAAAATATACAAAAATACACAAAGACAATGTAAGGCACCAGTTGTGGTGAGATAACAGATTTCTGGCAACACTAGCAGAAAGTGGTGGCTCCTTTATGCTGCTCGTTCATTCCCTACAGAATCCTGAGGGGACACAAGACAAAGCATTCTTAAGTGTCTATATGAAAACCTCTGTCATTCTCAGTCTGTTAAAAGAAATTGTACTTTTGAGAAAGCTTTTCTTTTCAGTCAAAACTGAGTTATGGGATGTTGTTTGCTGGTTGACCAAGAGGACAAAAGGCTGTTTGTTTCGCATTAAGTAAACAATTTTTTTCCCTGTAATGACTAACTGGCTTAAGCTGTCCCGTTTCCTTCAGTGACCAGAACAACTTAATAAAGCCATGATTCTCCTTGTAGTACAGCTGGTAGCCCTATGACAGATGCTATCTGAGGTATGTTTGGTGACCTTGATATTAGCTGAGCCACAAAAAGGAGGCTCCCTTTAGCTGTCTTCTGCAGAAAGCTTTCTGATGAAAGAGGCCAAGTCCTTATGTGCTGCATGAGTGGGCTTTGTGTGTAACTTAAAGAAAATTGAGCCTCTTAAGATTCTCTGCAGCCTCTTAACTCGTGGCTTTCTGGCTCCTGGGGGAAAAATATGCTCAGCTTTGGGGTCAAGGCTTGTCCTTGGGATGGCTGCCAGACACTGTGGTGAGCCAGCAAGAATGTAAATTTCCTTTTTGACTCCCGACCCTTTTTGAAGAAAGTGAGGTACATTGTGCCAGAAAGAGCTGGACCCCAAGGCCATTTCTGCAGCTGGTACCTTGGGGTCTTACTGTTGGTATTGTGTCTGCACTTGCACAGGGAGCTGGAAAGCATCCTCCTCCTCTGCAGTGCCTGTGGTGAAATGATGCTCATGGAGCAAGTTTTGGACCACAGTGCTGCTCTGTGTCCCCATAAGATGCATGTGACTTGCTCATTGTGCTGCCGAAGAGGGGACCTGAGCTTGTCCCACAGCTCCTGGGGAGTCTCTGGACCATCATGCTCCCTTCTCTGCCTGTGGCTTTAGGAAAGCTGTGATGGCCACTCCATTTCTAACAGTGTAAACACACTGCTATGCTGTAACAAATCAGTAATCCTGCTCACCAGCTTCCTGGAGGCGGAAACATACAATGGTTTGGGTAGGAAGGAACCTTAAAGATCATCCAGTTCCAACCACCCTAGCATGGGCAGAGACACCTTCTGCTACACAAGGTTGCTCAAAGCCCCTTGAAGCCTGTCCTTGAACACTGCCACAGATGGGGCATCCACAGCTTCTCTGGGCAGCCTATGCCAGCATCTGAACATACTTGCAGTGAAGAACTTCTTCCTAATGTCTAATCTAAATCTGCCCTTTGCCAGTTTAAAGCCACTCCCCTTGTCCTGTGACTACATAGCCTTGCCAAAAGTCCTCTCCCACATTTAGTAGCCCCTTTAGGCACCGGAAGCTGCACTAAGGTCTATCCAGAGCCTTCTCTTCTCCAGGCTGAACAACCCAACTTTCTCTCCTGTCTCCATAGCAGAGTTTCTCCAGCGCTCTAATCATCTTCGTGGACTCCTCTGGACTCGCTTCAGCAATTACACGTCCCTCTTGTATCCCCTCCGAGCGGAACACAGTGCTGCAGGTGAGGTCTCAGCAGAGCAGAGGTGGAGAGTCACCTCCCGTGACCTGCTGGCCTCCTTCTGATGCAGCCCGGCACACAGCTGCCTGGGCTGCAGGAGGTGCCGGCGCTGCCAGCGCCTCAAGGGGCCCCTCGGAGCTGGAGGCAGGACGGCTAGCGCCGCCGTCCCGGGGCAGGAGCGGGGCGATCTTCCCGCGCCTGCGCACTTCGCGCCTGCACGATCCGCATGCGCGGCCCGTCGCGCCGGCACCCGGCGATGGGATTCCGCACCGTGTAAGGGCCGTGGCGGCGGCGGTGTGAGGCGGGGGTGGGTGGTTGGCCGTTTGGCCCTGCGCTGCGGTGGAGGTGGGGGCTGCGGGTGCGACGGGGCCGTGACCCCCTCACGCCACTTCGGTGGTTCTTGGCCGGGTCACCGGTAACCTTGAGCCGTTTGCGGGGCCGCGGCCGGGGGGGGGTTGCCCGCCGCCCTCAGCAAGGCCGCGGCTTTGCGCTCAGATGAGGGGCTTCTTGACAAGGGTGGGTTGAGGGGAAGGAGGTCGCGGTCGGGCACGGGATGTGGCGAGTAGACCGGAAAGCATGAGGTCGGGTGGCAGCGGGGTGAACGCCAAACGGCTTGTTTTGCTTCACATCGCGACGGTGAGCTGTGCCCTCAGCGGCGCTTCAGTCGGCCGCTTTAAATAGCGTTTTCCTCCCGTTCACGCGTTTTAATACGGGCTGCAAATGAAAGGTTTAGGTACCTTATAGGTATAGTTGAGTTTGCTGGAGGCAGTTGAAATGGTGAACCACAGGCTCGGACTTCAGTTTCATAAGAACATACCTGTAACAGAAAACACTTGAAGTTTTCCTGATGCTTGTCTTAATATGCATCCTGTAAAGTCGGCATTCCTGCAGGACTAGACTTTATTCCTGTCCTGGTTTAACAACAGCGGTCAGCTAAGTACCACTCAGCTTCTCAGTGGGAGAAGGGGAGGAGAACTGGGGAAAAAAAAAAGTAAAACCTGTGGGTTGAGATAAGAACAGTTTGGTAATTAAAGGCAATATAATACTACTGCTAGTGATAATAATAATGAAAAGGGAAATAACTAAGAAAAAACAAAACAAGAAGAAAACCGTAATAAGCACAAGTGATGCACAGTACCCTCAACAGCTCACTACCCACTGACCAATACCCAGCCCAACCTGAGCAGTGATCAGTCCCTCGGGGGTAACTCTCCCCAGTTCATGTACTGGGCATGCTGTGGTATGGAATACCCCTTTGGCTAGTCTGGATCAGGTGTCCTGTCTCTGCTCTCTCTCAGCTTCTTGTGCCCCTCCTCACTGGCAGAGCATGAGACTGAAAAGTCCTTTATCAGGGTAAGCACTACTGACTTTGGTGTGTTACCAGCATTACTTCTCAGACTAAAACCAAAACACAGCACTGCACGAGCTATTAGGAAGAAAATTATCTCAGCCAAAATCAGGATAGTTCCTTTAAACAGCTCGCTAAGGCTTTATGGAAGAAATTGGGTCAGTTTGATGTTACTTGCAGCTGGGCATGAAGGGGACAAGTGCTCTGTAAGGAAATGAGCAAAACTGCAAAAAGGTGTTGCACGGCTATATAATGGGGATAAGGCTAAAATAACAGGATGTAAAATATCCTCGAGTGTAGTGACAATAAATTTACAGGGTTAAAATAAGAAAACTAGGTCTATCAGGAGGAATCCCCTTGTATTCATTTTGGTATGTGAAATGCTCCTCAAGGCCTGGTGTTGGTAGTTCCAGTGTTCTGGAATACCAAAACAGTATGCTTAAAAAAAAAACCAAAACCCAACCCAACCAGAAATAAAAGAAAAAAGAACAAACATCAGAAAAGTGCCTGCAAAAAAAAATTATCCCATGTTTCTAGCTTGGTTGTGTAAAATTGAGACTTGCGTATAAGCAGAAATACAATAATGGAACATTAATATGAACTAATTTCTCAAACAACAGTTGTTAAGCACGTGGTTTGCTTTGGTGAAATAACTTGGGCTTAACCTTCATCTGTTCATCTCCAGGGCTGAAATCTGTGTTTTTACTTAAAACTACTTAATATAAAAATGTTACAGAGCTTCTAGTGATGTTTGCAGTACACTCAGACCAAATTCTTCCCAGGGGGCAGAGGCTTGCCTTTTGCAAATGACTGACCTTGCAGAATACCTGAATATAACTTCTTCTACAAGTGTGCAGAAAGTGAAAGTAGGTCTCTCAAAATGCATGTGAATAAATCAGCCCTTTTTTGTGTGTGTGTGTGTGTGTGTGCATGTGTGGTTTTTTGTTTGTTTTTTTTTTCTTTAAAGATCTACCACGATGCCTGGGTCTCTTCCGGTGAATGCTGAATACCGTTGGCCCAAAGATGTGGGAATTGTTGCACTGGAGATATATTTCCCCTCTCAGTACGTTGACCAGACAGAGCTGGAGAAGTATGATGGTGTGGATGCTGGGAAGTACACCATTGGGCTGGGCCAGTCAAGAATGGGGTTCTGCTCCGACCGGGAGGATATCAATTCTCTCTGTCTGACTGTGGTTCAGAAGCTGATGGAGAGGAACAGCCTTTCCTATGATTGTATTGGGAGATTGGAGGTTGGAACAGAGACGATAATTGATAAATCAAAATCTGTAAAGACTGTCCTGATGCAGCTCTTTGAAGAATCTGGTAATACAGATGTAGAAGGCATTGACACCACCAATGCATGCTATGGAGGCACTGCTGCTCTTTTTAATGCCATTAATTGGATCGAGTCCAGTTCTTGGGATGGTAAGTTCAGGATATTTTCTTGGAAAAGTTATGTCATCCTCTGGCTTTGGGTAGTCTGCCTCATAATGACAGTGTTCATGTTTAACCATGTAAAACCCAGAGGTTAAACTGTTTTTCCCTTCTGAAGTCTTACTCTTAAATGCACTGGACTTTAAGTTCAACTCCAGTGGGAAAAAAAAAATGATGACATGGTTAGTAATCACTGGTCTTTTCCAGTAAATTTCTGTGGCTGCTAAGTAATTGAAATGTGGGGGGAAAGGTCAAGATGGAAGAGCCCCTTAAATAGTGGGGTCATCTCCTCTGTGACCAACATCTGGAAATTGCAGATGGGTGTTAAAGTATGCTTGATTCTTGGCTATTTCTCATTATTTGTGTGTGGTTTTCACAGGACGCTATGCACTTGTTGTTGCTGGAGACATAGCTGTGTATGCCACTGGAAATGCCAGGCCAACAGGTGGAGCTGGTGCTGTTGCTATGCTGGTTGGTCCAAATGCTCCGTTAATTTTTGAGAGAGGTTAGTCCTTTGGAAAGAAACAAATACTGTTTATCCAGATAACTGGATCTGTTTGGAAGCCTGTTTCTTGTGCTTTGCTTGAGGACTGGATTAACTCTCACCATGTCAGAAATTGTGCTGTCTGCTCTCACTCTGGGCTAACTTGGGCAAGTCCCGTTATAGGATGCATCAAGGAGCAACTAGAGATGCTCATGTCTGTTTATTTCCTCGGGGATTCTACAATAAAGTTGTCAAAGAGTGGGCCTGAAGTGCTATGAAAACCTGCTTAATGGCGGCCAGATATTGCTTGTTTCCCCAAATGTGTTAAGTGATACATTCAAGTTGACTCAAAGCAGCTGAATAATTTTTGTCAATTTCTGTCCATTAGGGTTGCGTGGAACCCATATGCAACATGCATATGACTTCTATAAGCCGGATATGGTCTCTGAATATCCTGTAGTTGATGGCAAACTCTCTATACAGTGCTACCTCAGTGCATTAGATCGCTGCTATACTGTTTATCGCAACAAAATCCACGCCCAGTGGCAAAAAGGTACGCAGTCTGACCTGGTGATATTGCAAGATCTGGCAATTATTGGAATGTGTCTCTGTGCTGGCAGTGTACTTTCAGAGTTTTAGCATTCAGTATGAAGACTAGTTTCCATCTTGGTTTTGCATGTTCTGAGGCGTTTCAAATGTTTTGTCTCTCCCATAAGAAATGTTTTACATCTGTTCTGGTATGGCTGAGTACCTGATAGTAAGCAGCAGTCTCTATAAAGCTTATCTTGGTGTAATGTGTAATACCGTGCTTAAAAAAGCGTGTTATTTCCACTCCTTCACATAATATGCTCTTAAGATATTGGGGTTAATATTTAAATGTTACGTAACTATACTGATTTTTTTTTTTTTTTTTAACCTCACATGTTTAGTAATTGCTTTACTCATATTAAGGGCCAGTGAAGATTAGCTAATTAAATGAAGTAGACTATTACATCAAAATGCTGAAAAGGAATAGGGAGATTTTGTTAAGCTTATAGCTTTTTCTTCTAGGAGGTCAAACGCTGGTGCAAAAGATCAGTAAGAAACTAACCTGTAAATAGAAGTAGCAGCAGTGTTTTAAATGATCTTGACAGGCATAGTTAGTCTTACTGTAGTGTCTTGTATGGTGATGTGATACAATCACTAGTACCTTGCCACCCTTGTATTTTATTTTCATAGTTGAACTAAGTGCTAAACCTAAGTTGTAACACAACATTTCTGCCACTTCCAGAGGGGATAGGCAGACGTTTCACCTTGAATGACTTTGGATTCATGATCTTTCATTCTCCCTACTGTAAACTGGTCCAGAAATCTGTGGCTAGACTCTTGCTGAATGACTTTCTCAGTGACCAGAACCCAGAAACAGCAGATGGTATTTTCAGTGGGTTGGAGGCTTTCAGGTGAGAATGGCTACTATCTTCCTTATTCATATGATCTTAACTTGTTACACCTCCAGTGTTTGTCTTTACTTTCTGTATTTAGTAAAAGTAATTTAGTAACTGTTTATGAATGTCTTTTTTTTTTTTTTTAATAGGGATGTAAAACTTGAGGATACATATTTTGACAGAGATGTGGAAAAAGCTTTCATGAAAGCCAGTGCAGAGCTCTTCAATCAGAAAACCAAAGCTTCGTTACTTGTGTCCAATCAGAATGGAAATATGTACACCCCTTCAGTCTATGGTTGCCTTGCCTCTCTTCTAGCCCAGTAAGCATAAAATAATGGGAAAAAATCATAGCTTTTTATATGTAAGGTTATAAAAGGTTTTTGTTTCAGAAAGCCTTTTGTAAAAGTACCATCTAGCAAACCTTTTCCTACTAGATGGCCTTAAGCAGAAAGCCTGAAGTTAAAAAAATGATTGTGCATGCACAGTTGGGTTCAGGTGACAAGCAGATTCAAAAGTTATTTGTCAGAAGCTGATCTGAAACAGCTGCTTACTTCCTGCTGAAGAAGGATCTTATTTATGAGGTGGTATGTTTTCCCAGCCTCAACCTTCCCTATCCTGCCCCTCTCCAAAAAAAGACCTCACTGCAGTGGCAGAGAGTATCAGAATGCCTTCTCTGTTTCACTTATAATAAGCAAAGCCAAATTAAATTAGGGGCTTAGGAGGGGGTTGTTTGGTTGTTGTTTAGGGGGTTTATTTTGTTTGTTTTTTTGTTTTTTTTTTCAGTGACAGACTTACAAAATCATGTTAAGTTTAAACTAAGCAATTCCTCTTGGATCCTTTTTTTGTTATTCTGACTTTGCCTTCCAAGATATGATCGTTCATTTTAGGCTTTAGGTCACTTAAGAAGGAAAACTGCCTTCTGGATAATAATATTCTGGGCATTTCCTTGCTCTGTTTTGCTTAGGCAGCTGTGGATGGAAGTCATCACATAACAGCCACGCCTGATGCTGTTTAAAAGTCATTTAAGCACATAGCATGCAAAATATGTATTGTAGTCAGTATAACTCGCTGCTTCTGCTGAGCTAGCTGCAGTTCCTAGTTACTTAAATTTGGCACTTTGGCTTAATTCTCACTCTATATAACTGTTGCTTGGTTTGCAGGTACTCCCCAGAGCAGCTTGCAGGACAGAGAATCAGTGTGTTTTCATATGGCTCTGGGTTTGCTGCTACGCTGTATTCCATCAGAGTTACGCAGGATGCCACTCCTGGTGAGTGAAAGGAGGAAATGTTAACTCCCTTGCACAGCTCCCTGCTAAATGCCTGATGACACTACTCACCAGAATAAGTAAACCTGCAGAGCAGTGCTTAATGTCAGTAATGCTAAATTGAAGATGTTCCAACTCCTGGGAATGTTTTAAGTGTCTCCTTGGGCAAATAAGTAATATTCTTCAAATTCCATTACTGTTTTGATGGAATAATTTGGAATATTTTCAATATTCAATTTTCAGTATTCAATACAGCAGGTTTAGCTGCTGTAATGCAAAACATTTTGAATGAGATTGAAATGTTAACATGCTAACACACAGTTCTTGGCACTGGTGCGACCTTACATGATGGTTCTGTATTGTAGGCTCTGCACTGGACAAAATTACTGCCAGTCTGTCCGATCTCAAAACAAGACTTGACTCAAGAAAATGTATTGCACCGGATGTCTTTGCTGAAAATATGAAGATCAGACAGGAAACGCATCATTTGGGTAAGAGCTTCATAAGTATAAATTGTTTGTAGTTTCACAGCAAAATGCTCATCACTTAGTTCACTTGACTTTCAACTGTTCGGGTGTAGAATAAAGGAAATGTCCAACTTTTTTCTACTTCTGACAGCTCATGTTCATTGGTCCAGTGAGGCTGACATGAAAATGTAGATTTATTTTTTTCTGTCTTACTGTGTCCAAACTGTCTTACTGTCTTACTGTGTCAAAGCCCTGTGCTGTGTAAAACTGTTACCAGGAACCAATTAACAGTGTATTCCTGGCTTTGTTACAGCCAACTATATTCCACAGTGCTCGGTGGAAGATCTCTTTGAGGGAACTTGGTACCTTGTGCGTGTGGATGAAAAGCACAGGAGAACATACGCACGGCGCCCGCTCATGGGTGATGGACCGCTGGAGGCAGGTGTTGAAGTTGTCCACCCAGGCGTTGTTCATGAGGTGAACGCTCGGCACTCTTTTAAAAGTTGAAGCTAAATGGTGGAACGGTTTGTGTGTTTGTCATAGCTTGTGCATGTATGTTAAAGGAAGAAGTGGTTTCACAAGTTATATTAAGTACTTAGCTAATCATCTATGTGAGTAAAAGAAGTAAAAAAAAAAAATTGAACATGGGATTTTAAAATGTACATTTCATCATAACAAGAATGAAACTGCACAAGAATGAAACAAGAACAAAGTGGCTCTTTTCATGTTACCAGTTTGCATGAAGCATGACCAATTCAGTTGACTTAAAACAAAGCTGTCCAGTGTAGCATGAATGTTGTTGAGATTTGGACTAGCCATGAAGTATGGATGTCTGTGAACTAGAAAACTGTATTTAATGTTTTTTTTCCTTCTTCTTAGCACATCCCAAGCCCTGCTAAGAAAGTGCCAAGAATCCCTGCAACAACAGAATCTGAAGGCGTTACTGTTGCCATTTCCAATGGGGAGCATTAAGATACCTCTGTGAGGTGGGGAATGAAGCAAGGTGTGAGGGTAGGGTAACAGAGGGAGAGGATTGCAGTAGTGCTCAAGTTTCAGTGCACAGTAGTACTTCATTGGAGAATGGAAAACTGTTAAAGCTCCTTGAAAAGCTTTGTCATAATATGGTATGCTGATGTTTATGGTATTTTCAAGACACTAAATTCATGAATATACTGGGGATGGAGGGACTTGCCAGGGGCTGTGTGGATTCATTAACATGTCCATTTTTATTTTTCTTTTCAATTGCTGAGTAGTAGCTGTAGTCCATTACAAGGTATTTGTACACAGAAAAAATCTTTTGCTTGCTCTTTCCATTCAAAATGACTTGAAACCTACACTGTTAACTTTTACTGTTAACGTCTACTTCAAACCTCCACTATTAACTTCTACTGTTAACTTCTACTTTTAACCTATACTGTTAACTTCAAGTGTGTGGCAAGCTAGTCCAGGCTTATCATGTTTGGATTCTCAGTGCCTTGACAGTAAGCTGTCTTCAGAATACTGTGCTTCTCTTTCTCTATACCACCCTCCTCTTTTCTGCCAGTCTGCATCCCATCACCCCATTGCTTTGGGAAATACAACCAAGTAGCACTCATTGCTGAAGAAGAATCTCTCTTCCCTGTCAGAATGACTAGATCAAGAATGGCTAGACTGACATGTGGTTTTCTTCCAACAAACTTTGTGACCCGCTGTCTTAGTTACTGTGGGATTCCTCTGAACACCCGTAATGTGTATTTTGTGCCAGCTTTATAAATCACAGCAGCGTGGGTGGAAAGAGAAAGAGGAGGGATAGGGATTTTTTTCTTCCAAAGATATGGGTTCATTGATGTGGCATCTTTCAGGATTGTCTAGTAGATCCCATTTGGAGTACTGTGTACAGTTCTGGTTTCCTCAACATAAGAAGGACATGGAGCTGTTGGAGTAAGTCCGGAGGAGGATAATAAGGGGCTTGGAGCATCTCCCATATGAATACAGGCTGACAAAACTGGGACTCTTCAGCCTGGAAAAGAGAAGGCTGTGTGGAGACCTCATAGCAGCTTCCCAGTATCTGAAGGGGGCCTACAAGGTTGCCAGAGAAGGACTCTTAATCAGGGACAGTAGGGATAGTACAAGGGGTAATGGATTCAAACTAAACCACGAGAAGTGCAGGTTAGATGTAAGGAAGAAGTTCTTTACTGTGAGGGTGGTGAGGCACTGGGACAGGTTGCCGAAAGAGGTTGTGAGTGCTCCATCCTTGTCTGTGTTCAAGGCCAGGTTGGACAGTCTTGGGCAACATGGTCCAGTGTGAGGCATCCCCACCCATGGAAGGGGGATTGGAACTGGATGATCTTAAGGTCCTTTCCAACCCAAACCATTCCATGATTCCATGGTTCTATAATTATCTAAGGCAGCAGAATTTTCATACAGGACTTCCAGATATTACTGAGCTGTTTTAATTGGCAGACGAAGAAAGGGAGAAACATCACTGGCCTCTCACTAGTCTTTATATAACACATTTCTGAAAGACTATTTCTGACTTTGAATTTGGCTTTGTACCTTGAAATCCTTCTGACTAATGGTGATACTGTAGGAGTAGGGTCTTTTTTTTTTTTTTTTTCTCCTTTCTTGTTTTTTTCCCGATATGCAAGCTAAAAGCTATCAATTTTGCAACAGGTAGATATACCATACTAATGGGGATTCCATTCTGGTAGATTTTTAAAGTCCAGACTGGAAATTAACTATGACATGAGCCTTGTAAGCTTGTAATATATACATATTTAAATTGAGCTAATGTACAGAATGAAATTTTGTTGGATTTATTTCTTTGCTAATTCTACAAAGCTGCATTATCTAATATAAAGTAGCAAAAAATTACATGTCTGTTAAGTTACAATTTTTTTGTGTGTCTAATAAAGTGTTTGTATTATCTGTCACTCACTAGGATTTGATAACTTGCTGTATTTGTACAGTCAAGCCTTGGTAAAATAGTTGTTTATTATAAATTTATGGATACTAATCTGTTTGTTCTGCTGAAAATGATGGAGCAATGATGCATGATAATAGTGTTTGCAAGTACTTTGGTTTAGGTTGCCCTCGTGAAACTTAATCTTGGCACCAGGAAAACAAATTGCCATGGAACAAAGTCCATTGCTGGCAGTGGACAAGCCAGGAAATGAGCTACTGGCATAAAGTTATCACAGGGGCCTCGTGGTTTGTGAGGCTGATCCTTTATTAAAATAAAGTTTGAGATATTTGAAACCTGTTGGAGTAGTGCTGACTCATTGGATTTTCAGGATGAATTTTTGTTTTCTTTAACAGGAAAAAAAGAGGAGACTGTGCCTGTGAAAACCTGAAGTTGTGGGTTCACCAGCTGTGTGGACCTTCTGGATCTTTCTGCTTAGTAGCATTCCATTACAAAAGTGGAAAGGGTTGCTTAGGCTGGTGGGAAAACATTATTGTAGGGCTGTGTTTCAACATAACTTAATGCTTTCAGAGGAAAATGGTTTGTATAGAGGAATTCATTCACAGCTTATGAAATACAATTCATCTTTATTACTGTCCTATGAAAGATGGTATTGTTTTACCCCCTCAGAAAAATCTGTGAAACGGTGTTCATTCTTGCTTTGTACTTACCTGATCCTCACTGAATCTCTGTTTACCAGGGGTGGCTTTTCAGTCATTTTGTGGCTCATTTACATTAATTAGCCCTTTTAAAGTCAACTTATCATCTCATCAGTTCCCCATAACAGATGAGACATCCTGCCCTTAAATTTGAAAGCACCAGCTGTACCTCTAAGCCTTGTATTAGTTTACTTTCCTTAACTAAAGTAGGACGGGCTCTGCCTCTTAGCTTGGGTATGTCAGTTGTGCCTGTTTGGAGAAGGGTAGGTACTGCACGTTCTTCCAACGTTTGCATTGGAGCTCATCATGTTGAGGATAAAAATATAAAATAAACGATTAAAGCTGAAAATCAGAGTATCTACATCTTGGTGATGCTTGGAAAAATAGGAGTTGTCAGGCTAGCCGACTTTTAACTTGCAGTGGTCAGAATCAGCTGTTGCTGCCAAAGTATAATTGCAGGAGTTGGTACAGCTTGTAATGCTCAATCTATAAGCAGATTTTGTTACTGGTTGCGTCCAGCTTACTGATACTTAGAGCTATAGCAAGAGTTTAAAACTACGTGAGTTGGAGTACAGTTAAATCTTTCTTTATTGGAGTGCAGCTGGAGTCCAAGCTGCTGGAATCATCCAAGTAATGGAAGGTGGTAGCCCAACCAGTTCTGCAATAGGAATTGTGACCACACATGTAGGGTTCAAGCAGCATATCCTAATTTGCCTTTTGCAATTGTGACAAATTGGGAATGGTGGTCATCAACACCACTGCTGTTTTTTTTAAATACAATTTTAAAGCCCATAGAGCTCTGTTATACACTTACCCATGTTTAATTTGCTGAGAAGTTTTAAAGAATTTACAGTTGTTTAGATTATAGTCTGGTTTCTGCTTAAGTTTAGTTTTCTGCAAAAAACTGTTCTGGTTTGTAGTGGTACAATTGTGTCAAGCTGAGGCCCAACTTTTCAAGATCTTAGCTGTAACATGCCTGTAGTATGTTAAATGCAGTACTGTTTGACCTTTGCTAAAAGGTCACTTCAACTAATGATCTCTTACCTGTTCCACTTGCTAGGGTTCTTGTACTGGCTATACCAAGTCTCTGGAGCAAGGGGCAAACAAATGAGAGCTCTGTATTTGCGCACTTCACTGTGAGTGGAGAAATGCAGAGGAGATAGGCATTCTTGGTTTATTCAAAAGTTACAAAAAAATGTGGTGCCAGAACTTGTTAATAAAACCCTTTGTTAAATATGCAAATTATAAAGCCTGCAGTGCAGTTTATAGAATAGAACACAGCTTGGATGTGTTCATCCTGCTGTAAGAATGGATTCCTCCCCTCAGGTCTTGTTCTTTGGGGTCTGAATGGGACATGATAGGAACACATTCGAGTGCCCTTTTCTTCTGAACTTTGTGCAGAACGATTCTGTAGACCCCTGTTACTGAGCTGCGTGCATCTCTTCCCCGGTTGTTTTGAATGTGCTCTTCTGTGATTCCCAGATCTTCAAGAATATTTTTGACTTCAATATCTTCCTCTTTGAGTGCACTGATGTCTGATAAGTACCTCGGATCCAGTTTAAAGGGCTGTAGAGGTCTGGGGTACTGTATCCCTTGCATCCATTCACTGTTCATGATAAGTTTGACGGAGTATCGTTTGGTTGGTACTGGCTGAAGGACTCCTTTTATCAGTTTCTGGCAAGTTTCTGAGAGGCAGGAAGGCAAACTGTATGTCCCTTCAAGAATGCACTTTTTCAGTTTGGCCACTGTATCTGCCCGAAATGGCATAATACCCGTTGTCATGAAGTATAACAGGATTCCCAGTGCCCAGATGTCTACGTAAATGCCAATATAGTTTTCATCTCGGAAGAGTTCAGGGGCAGCGTAAGGAGGAGAGCCACAAAAAGTATTTAAAGTTTCATCTCTTTTACTTACTGTGCTGAATCCAAAGTCTCCCACCTTAACGCAGGTGTTACTTGTGTAGAAGACATTTTCTGCTTTTAAGTCCCGGTGAATGATATTATTCTCATGCTGCAGAACAGGGGGAAGATTTGGTATTAGCTTGTTCATGGGAAAGTTCTCAATGAAGTTGAAAAGTTAAAGTATTTAAAGAAAATTAATTCTCTACTGATACAAAACCAATAGGGTAGGTAGAAAAGATGGGAAGAAGGATGCTGGGGTTTTTAATGATAGCTTTCTCAACTTGTTAACTAGTATCGAGTATTTTCATGAAGCAGATCTCTGGCATCATGGCTAATCCTAAAAGACCAGGTATCTTCATGTGCAAAATCTGTAATTTTTTTCAGGGTTCAGAACCCTTGCTTTAGCAATTACTACATTTCTGTAATGATGCAACTAACAAAAATAATTGCAATTTTGTATATATTGCAAGCTTCTGGACTTACAAAGTGAAAGTGTTTACCAAGTGATTGTAATCACAGATAAAGTAAGAAGGACACTACAATTCTGTTGCATGATCTAATGTCCTGTAAGGAACTGGTGGTGGCAGGAGGAAAGGACCATGCACTTGTGCCTTGTGGCATTTCTTGTTGCAAGAAATAACCTCGTGACACCAAGTTCAGTAGCATCTTCTACTTTTAGAGTCTAAAGTAAATACATACACTGTAACTTGTACATTATTTCCCTTGGAAATGCCAGAAGTAGCCAAGGACTCAAACTGAATTTTCTCTGCTTAGTGGTGATATATACCTGTCCTCATTAAGTAAGGGTTTAGCTGCATGTTTGAACCAGCAAGAACAATTGATGTGTCTGAGCAGTCTGCCCCACCTTTGGAAGTAACAAAGTGCAGTGTCTGAAGGCAATAAGGAAAACCTTCAGCATCCTAAGTTTTTTAAACTGCTATCAATGATGGCAGAGATCTTCCGTCCTCACTGTGGACTGGCAGCACTGAGATGGGATTTAAGTAGCCTGGATTTTGTGGCTTAGCAAAATTAAAATATTTTGTAGAAGTCTGGGTGTCCAAGTGAAGAGGTTGGCCAGCTAGGTAGGTTTGGGCTTAATGCTAAGAAATAGACGTCATCTTAAAATGTAAGTTCCAGTAGCTGCAGAGTACCTGTCCTATGGAAAAGGAGTAGGAGGTAATCCAGCACTTACAGGAGATTTTATAGTTTTGTCAGAATATGTAAAGATGCAGACTGTTTATACATGAACAGCTTGTACTGCAGTTTCTAGAAGCCTGACTGGGGAACACCCTTGCTTTTGAATTTGCTTGAGGCTGTGGCAGACTACAGACCACTGGGGGGCACCCTGAGGCAAGTTTTAATGCGCACCGCTTTTATTTCTCAGTCCTGCAGAAAAGCTTTCCCGTGGTTTTATGCTGTTGCTTGAAGTAGCTATAGTTACTACACAAAGTTCAGAGGAGATGGTACTGAAGTAGTTTATTGCTTCTATTATGCCTTTACAAGATACTTTGGGCTCTACATAAATAGCATCATACTAAACCCAGATACTGAAGAGTAGGCAAGGGGGAGTGACTTGCTGGGTGTTAAACTTCACATATCTGTGCCAAAGCAAGGATTGGGAATCAACTGTTTTAAGTGCCAGTTTCCCACATTCATTAACAAGCAAGTTAGACTTTGCAACACCTGACAAACCTCTTCTGTGGAACACTTCTAGCAGAAGAGTCACTGATCCTATGTTTTGAAATAGCTGGAGGGAGGAAATGAAGATGTGTTAGCTGGCCCCTGCACTAACTTAAAGCAGACAACAGAATACTGTTGCTGAAGGGATGGTTCCACCCACCAGGTGAATCGCAGGTCAGACTCCTCCCTAAAGCTGTCAACAGGGAGCAGTCACTGGAGGTGCATGTGGAAGCTCTGATACCTTTAAGACATCTTTTTTTTCTGTAGCTGTTTGCTGTTCAGAAACACCGGCCTGAAATCTTGGTAAGAGTAAACCTATTAGTTGAAAACCAAAAAAATACATCCACAAAATCTGCTACTGCAGTGACAGGCAACAAATCTGTAGAAGATCAACTTACCATGTGCTTCACAGCAGACACAATCTGGGAGAAGATTATTTTACATTCCGTTTCTAGCAGCTTGCCTTCTGTACTGATTTTAGTGAAGAGCTCCCCACCTCCTGCATACTCCATCACCAGGTGCAGTTTTGAGAGCGTCTCCACAACTTCATACAGTCTGATGATATTTGGGTGGTGCAGTTTTTCCATGCTGGATATCTCACGAGACAGCAAGCGTTGAGTCTTCTGGTCTAACTTCGTCTTGTCCAAAATCTTTATTGCGACTTTCTCTGAAAAGAAGAATGTTTTTCCATGTTTTTAATGCAACAGGTACAGATGCTAATTCCATCTACTCACAACAATCCTTGGCTACAGAAATGCAATGAAATTCCACCACTGATCAGTATAAACTAAGCTGCAGAGGCCTACTAAGCCCTGCAGACTTTCACACACACACATGCCCTTGTCTATGTCATCCTACCCACTGCTGAGGCAGCTGAAGTCTGGTAGTGTATTGCAAGGGATGATCAAATCATCTGCTGCCTTAGTATGCTCCGCTGCTGTCAGGCTAGTATGTGACTGATGGCCACAGTTGCATCATCTGCTTTTGGTGTCTAATGCTGGTAGAGAAGGTCCACGCTTTTGTTGTGAGCTCTTCAGATGAGCCAGGCCTGAGCCTGGTAGTTCCAGACTAATGGAGGTGTCAAATTTAGGTGCTTTGTTTCAGAGCAGACAGACAAACTTGGGTGAAATTTTGGGTCTCTGGCAATAACCTGCAGGTTAATCATGGAGAGGTGTTTTTAAGTTGGTGTGACTTACAGAACTTTTCCCTAATTTTTTATCCTGTATCTTCCTTCCTGAATTCTCAGTTACCAAAGTCAGTGTTGTAGAGGTTTGTCTTTCTCAGGATAGCAGTGTCAATTTTTCCAGCAGGTTCATGTATGAGTAGTTCTTGGTACTGTACAGAATACAGGAAAAGTACATTTTTTATGTGTGTATGCCACACAATGTGGGCCATGAATCCACATCACACACAGATTCTGAGGAAGGGAAAGAACACAGTGAGGTAGCATAAGTTCCAGGGATCCTGTAAAACAGCAAATCTAGTTGTCTTATGCTGTCCTGGTAATACAAAGCTGCTGTTAAGTTCTACATGTTTCTGTAGCCTATCCACAGAGAAGCCAAGGGCCACAAACCAGATACAAGTTTTCTGCTGCACCATATCATCAGGGTAGCTCAGAGCAGAATGAAAAGATCAATCGCAACTGCCCTCATGTTTCCGTTTTAACTGGTAGGTTATGGCTTTTTTCTACACTCTACTGAATGCATCTGGTATGTGAAGGATTAGCCTGTTTAAAATAGGTTTACAGTGGCTTTGTATAACTTGTCAGGAAAGCAAAATTAAATTGGATCATGGCAGTAAAAACAACTGTTTATTCCTGGGAAGGAGGTTTTTCCCCAAGAATATCTTAGTTAAACATTCACAGATATCTTAACAATCACTTCCATAAAATCTTCCAGGAAAACACCCACTTCACCTTGGTATCTAGTACATAGCAGTAAATGAAAAAAAAAAAGTATTGTTTACTTCCTGCTGTAAGAGTTAGAGGGCTATCACATTTGTACATGTGCTCTGGTATAAAAGCATTCAAAATATTTTTTACTAAATATTATAAAGTTATTTAACTCAAGTTTAGTATTTCATTGCTATCTAAAGGAAGTGTTAAGGATACATATACATATATATCTGTACAGATCAAGAAAACTCCATGTTTGGGGTATTTACCTTTCGTAGTAACATACATGTATAAATTGATCTCCCTACTAAAGTGCAGATTTCCAAGCAAATGTGATTCTTGTGAAAGGTGATGCGTTGTCCCTTGATGTGCCTATTGTCAGCAGGGAGCCTTGTGCTGAGACTGGGCAGTCTTCCCCACTCTGCATCTCTCTGACCTGCTCCACACTTTCTCGTGAGCCCCTTAGGAAACCAGGTACGTACTGTTGCGTGGTGCTGGTGGTGAACTGGGAGGAAATGCAGCTATTGAACAGTAACCACACATGACGCTGATCCTGGCAGAGCTCTGATTGATGACCTAGGGGTGAAAGACTAAAACCCTTGTCACATTGGTAGCATATTGATCACCTAAACCAAGAGGAAAGGGCATTCTTAGGTAACACTTGCACAACTAAATGCTGAGATACTACAAGGATAACAGTTCTTACAATCTTAAGTATGTAATTGCATCATTACATCTTAATTTATAGAAGTTGGAGGCATTTAGGCTTTAAAAAAAAATATAATCTTTTAGGTTAAATTCCTTCTCTTTCCTTTCTCTGGAATGTACTACTCCTCCTGGTCAGTTTTCTTTCAAGGCTTTAAAAGAGAAAGGAGGTGGAATAAAAAAGAAAGAAAACATCTAAACCAGAAGGGCCTGATGCTGTTCACACACAAGGACTGAGCTCCTTTAAATCTGCATCACTGCAATTGTATATGCATGGTATGCAACGAAATAAGAAAACCAGCCCTTCCAAAAGGGTAAAAACCCCAATACCCTCCTTTTCTTTTTTTAAACTCGTTCCTGCTGCTTCAAAAAAAACCCCTTGGTCTATAAACCACAAATTACCCTTGCATGGCAGCAGCGCTGAACAGAAGGGCATTTTTAGCAGCAAGCATATTTACCAAAATGCTAAAACTGAGTGGCAAGAGATTTTAATTGACTATATGCAGTATATGCTGAGGTTTGAAAAGAACTATCTGAAATATTACGAGAAATCACTTCAGGAAGAAGTGGTGTGCGCTATGATGGCAAAAGGAAACAAAACACAAACAGAACCAAGTTAAAATTGCTTGGACAGCAAGAAAAAAAAAGAATAAGGAAACTAGATACCTGGATATAACTGCCTTTGCAACTGATGTTTCACATTAGATTGGGTTTTTACTAGCTGTAAATTTTGGATGCTCTTAATTGCATCTATTCAGCTGTGCTTTCACCCTACATTTGTCAGCTGGAAGGTATATAAAATGAAGGTTACACAGAGCTTCGTAACTGAACAGTCCTTACAAGCAACTCTTCAGGGCTCTGGAGAAAAACTCTGCCAAAATTCAGGTTAATAAAATGGGCAACGCTTCTGAATAACTCAGTGCACATCATAGCACTGAAGATTTTCCTGTATCCTCTAAGCAACCAAGACAGCCCTTGTGAGAGAAACAAGGTTCTTCATCCCTTCAACCAGTATGATATACTGCAGTTTTTTTGTTTCTCCCTTTAGAAAACTTCTTCCCATTACCCAGCCACAAGAGACCACAAGGGATACAGAACAGCACACACATGTAATTGTTACAAAAGCTCATCTTAGTAAAGAACAATTGTTTCCTTTTTTCATATGTGGTAACATGGAAAGAGAAAAGACCATACTTAGAACTTAACACCATGACAGTAACTGAAGAGCTGAACAGTTCCCCCACACATACTCCTTCCCCTATCACAGGGACTCAAAAAGAATTAATAACAAAGCCTTTGTGTTTGTATAATAAGCAAAAAAAAAAAACAACAACAACAAACAAAACCAACTTGTACTCATTAGCACTGTGCAGGAACATCACTTCATTAACAACACAATGGTGTGCATCCACTGGCAAAAAAGACTCCTCTTTGTGGGTGGTGGGGTTGTGCATGTGCATGCATGGGTGCACGATCCTGTTCTCCTATCCACATAGTGTATGTTACCAGGACAGACTGAGTCAGAAGATGTTTATCTTGAATCCTTCCTTCCTCATGACAGTTGCAAACTTAGTATCAAGAAATTAACTCCTTGCCCAGTGAACATTTTAACAAAAAAAGCTACTAGCAAACATAAGAAAACATAATTTGAGACATTTCTGTTGAAAAAGTACTTTTAAAAAATTACTCATTTTATTTTGGTATTAGTTTATCCAAACTTACTGTATTCATTGAAGTTCAAAGTTTTTCAATCAATCAGCTCTATTTAAATGTTAAAGCATCCTGTCTCCTAACTAAGTTTGACAGGTAAAAGGTCCACCCAGATCAAATTTATAACTTCATTAGCATTTCTCCTGTTCCCAGTACAAAAGGAGCATTTCCTCCAACAGTAAACACAGTTTTCTCTGGAAGAAAAAAAACAGTCACAGAAGAGGAAATAACTCGCTGTGGGCCAAGTAGAACATAGATGCTTTGCTGAAACAAGCAAAACCAAAAATGCACGCCCTGTTAAACCAGGTTTAGATTTGGAAAAAATAAATACCATTAGCTCCCCACTTTGATTCCCAGTGCAGCAACTGCTGCACACGAGGGATGAATGTGAGCTTTCGCACATCTGCAGTGAGGGCTGAAAGAGGTGGTTAGAGAAAACAACAACAGGTAACAGTGCATGAAGGCTTTGGGGTGTACCTCATTCTCTTTCCTGTAAGATGATGGAGGGAAGGAAAAGTCTATGAGAAAAAAAGATAGTAGAAAACAGAGATATGGGGAAAACCAGTCATTCCTGAGGGAAAACAAGAACAGTTTCTGTTATTGTCAGACAGTCAGAAGCAGAAGAGAGACAGGAGAGATGAAGACAAGTTCTTAGTTATACCTATAACTGAGGTGTCTCCTGCAGTTACCTTGCCTTTCATGTTCTTCCTAGAAGCAGTATATAGGATGCTTCTCTGTACTAAAAAAAATCATTGATAATTCAACACAAACCCTGGGTTGGCTGTACCAGAACTCATTTCCCTGGCCCTGCTCAGCCTACACCTATAGCCCTGTCCCAGCTTTTTGCAGTATTGATCCACCTGCACATGAGCCAGCAAAGCAGACATAACATTTCTCACCAAGTTTACTGTGACCAAATAAAGGCTTTGTCCATACTAGTTAAAGTGGCAATAAAACAAAGGCAGCCTGGCTAACCCTGTCAGTGGGCAGGAGCACCCCTACCCAGGCTGCCCTTGAGGGTTCACCACATACAGCCCTGCAGCCCATGAGCTGGGGCAGGGAGGAGGGCAGATGGGCAGGACAAGTTGTAGGAGGGCAAACACAACACGATGCTTCGAAGTGTGGAGTGTTTGAGGCATGGTATGGGATGTGTCAACTCCGAGAACTACAGAGATAAACTTTTGTTTAATAGTTGCCATCTAGAGAAAATGCTTATGGTTTCTTTAAAAGCTGGTACAAATGCAAGCATTTACCTGTGACTGTACTTCAGAGGCACTCAACAACAACAAAACAAGAAACATAACGTTCAGACAGCATCTTTCTTTCCAAAGAGGGCCATTTGTATACATTCAGAACAAGGGCATCAGAACACAGGTGACACACACACCAGTGCCTACCTTTGACTAGGGAATGAATTCCGATCTTCACTTGTGAGAAACTGCCACTTCCTATTTCTCCTCTGACTCGATAGAAGCCAATTCTCTTTCCCAGGGTTAATTCTCTCACCACTTTTTCATTCTGGGACATGTCATGCATTAGTTTCTCAAATGGGGTCATCCTGTGCTCCCTGCCCTCTTCCTCTCCTCCATAGCACTCTGGGTGCCCATCGTCTTCTCCACTGTCCACACGATGCCACCTGGAATAGCAACGTTTTCCAAGACTTCCTCCATTCATATATCCTGTTGTCATAGTCTAGGGTAGTCACTTCCCCATTTAAACAAGATGTTCCAATAAGGAGTTTAAATTAAATGATTCTGTATGAATATGCAGTCCTGCACATCATGAACACTGTGACAAACTTAGCAAAAAAAAAGCAGCTTACTGACAGTCCAAGGATTAGTTTGGAATCACTTCAGAAGCAAATCTGGCACATCAACATATTGCAGTTCTGTTTGAAATCAAACATAAAACTGGAAGCTGTTTACATCCATCTCTCACTAATGGATTTAATACATCAGGATCTTAATCTACAAGATAAATGAAGCTTTGCAATTAAAACTGTAAACTTGGTGCAAGAAAGCAGCAAGTTGCTGCTACTATGCAGTACATTTGACACATGCAAGACATTTGACACAAATTTTCAGGCTTTAGCTTGCTGCTCTGAAAACTAAACTTGATAGAAGTCAAACAAATAGCTGATAAACTGCTCTGAATAAATCCAGATGTTTCCAGTTCATTTTGAATAGCTGACTTTAACAGGATAGTTCTCCTTGAGTCTGGTACCAGTCCAAAAGCTGAAAGCAGGGTTTGCCTTGGATTCATTCTTCAGCCTGTGAGCTTGTCAGAGTGTCTTGGAAATATCACTGTACCTTGAAGCCTTGCTGTAAAAAGTTTGCTGCCCCTCTGTTTCCTTCCCATTGCAGGTTTAACAAAGCAACTGACCCTAAGGGATGACAAGAAAACCATAATCTGTGCAGCAGGCAAAAGAAACGCTGCACTTCAGTATCCCGCAGTCACATGGCAGGACAATACAGGATTAAGTAACTGCAATGTCACGTTAACCCTCCTTTATTTAGATGAGCTTTCTTTAACGCCTTGAGCCTTCTCAAAATTTTGCCAGATGCATGTTCCTCCTAAGCAGACAGATGAAAAAAGTCATTTAAACCTTTACGTAACAGCCCTTCACTATTTGACAGCACATCACGCACTATTTCACCACTTTAACTCTGTTTGGCAGCACAAATGAAGTCCTTATTCTATATACACAAGCATTCACTTACCTTTAAAGCAGTACACCATTTTTTTCTTCTTCACCTTTCTTCCTTAACCTTAAAAACCAGGAGTTGATCAGCAACTGCAGATCATACAGCCATGTGCCTGAGGGCGGTGAGCTGGACACAAAGGCAGTGCAGGTTATGGCAATGCTCACCTTCCCTGCTCTCAGCCTGCAGCACTGGTGAATGCAGGAGACACCTCATTGCTGCTGCCCTGCATCAGATTGAGGGGGAGGGAATCAGACCAGTAACTCAGTGCCTGGAGCTTAGGGAAGGTAGACAGTCACCTAAGGTGCCACACTAAAAGGGGTCATGTGACACGGCCAGGAGGAGCTGCTCTCTAAACCCTGATCTGAGTGACCAAGAGGAGCAGAGGCCGAAGGCACCACGTAAGGGTAAAGAAAAGGCAAGTGGTAGTGATTTCATTATATGGGAACTGGGGTGGCACAGAAGCAATTGCTGCCACGGTGACAGACACAGCCTCCAGGAAGCGTCTCCTTGCTCCAAGATGCATGTAAGTGTTTTTGATAGTCACATCACCTCTTTGTGCTGTGGCCAAGCTGCCTATAGCTCTGCCTGGGGAAAGGCCCTCAGGACAGAAGGGTCCCCCCACTTCTCTGTCACTGCTCTGAGACAGGGATGCTTCTTACTGTGTGGCTGCAAACTTCATCTGACACAGTTTATAACTGCAGTGGAGGGAAAATGCACTTGTTCTATGACTCCTTTGACCTCTCATTACTTTTTCTGGTTTAGTCCTGTTCGAAGAAAAGGGCCATTTTCATAGTTGACAGGAAAAAAAAAAAGCATAAAATAATAATAAATAATCATATGTTATTCTCTGACTCTAAATAGGGTTAAACCCCCAACAAATGCTGTATGTGTGCGCCAACTATTGGCTAAATCTTGAAATTGTTAGTAGCAGAGAGACTGTGTGGCAACTGAAGAAAGTCTTCAGCATTCTCCCATCAAACCAGCCTCACTTAGTACCAAATGTGCCCTCTAACTTCATTATTTGATACCAAGGAAGAAAAATCTGGACAGAAAAAAGAAGGACACCTCCTCCCCAAGCAAACCGAAATCCCATCTAAACCCACACCTTACATTCTCTACTTGTTCTCCTTCTTCTTCAGGGAAAGGACAATTTCTTGCAGGATTGCCTTAATCCTGGCCCATGGCTGTTTTCCATTTTAACCTGTTTCACATCACAATTTAACAGTATTTTAGGTAACAAGAAACTCGCAATATGAAACTCAACTGTATTTGAGAATTTCCACAGTAGACACCACTCCACCGTGCAGATCTTTTGGAAGACATCTGTCTGCTGTACACCAACACAGTGATTCACAGATTAGAAAGGCCAAACTCTGTTCCCATTCTGCTGTTTGATCTTGAGGCAAAACCACAGCAGCTCAGGTTGCCCATATGAAATGCTTGGGAAAATTCACAAGCAATGCCAGTGGTGCCAGGTACAAGCTACAAATCATTATTTAATTAAGTACCTTTGGGCTGGAAGCAACATCCTTGTCACCTTACCAAAGAATTGCTGTAGCTTACGGCTACAGCCTGAGCACTCCAGAGTGGCAGGTGTGGACAATTCTGCTCTTGCAGGAGAAACACAAAACTACTAATAATGGCAGGGAAACAAATAACAACAAACCAAACCAGGATGCTCCTGATAGCTGAGTCTTATGAACCAGCCTATTCAGCATTAGTAGTCACTCAGCTAAAGATCATCCTCTGCAAAAATAACCAGGAGCTTTGCAGTTAACTGGCTGTACAGAAAGGCTGTCTTTTAAGATGAGCTATTTCAGTATTCCTGGTGTTAGCAGAATACATACCATCTATTTATAGCCTATGTTCCTTCCTGTAATCTAAATGAGTAAAATCCACCCTGATACCATACAAAAGGGCACTGACTGTAGAAGAAAATAATTTTAAGAGAGAAGGGAGAAAGAAGGAAATCAGAAATCATCCAAACACAGTGAGGGACAATGACTTAACTTTTCTGCAGTACGGCTGGCTGTGACCTGAAAAACCTCAGGAGAATTTATTAATAACTTATTAATTAATTATTTAAGTATTTATTACTTTAAAAAAAACAAAATATACAAGCAAAAATAACCCAAACCAAACCAAACCAAACAAAAAAACACAGCCCCCCCAAAACAACACCAACACCCACCCCCACTCCCCAAACAACCCACAACAAAAAGGCAACACAAAACAGAGTGAGTAGATGTATAATTCCTTTAAGAACTGTGCTGCTCTTGTTTAACTGTTTTTCAAATATTTCCAGGTACTGACATTCTGGACCTATTCTAAAAAGTGCTGAATACCCTCAGGCTTCAACTGCAGACTCAGTTAAAACCCTGCATCACAGCTCTAAGTACATTTAGAATGAAAGGAAAAAGGATCATGCCAAAAAAAGAGATCACTGGATACATAGACTTCAGTTCCTAAAATCCCATCTTGGCATGTATAGAAAAGTCACCTGGTTTTAAGACTGCAGCATATGTGAAAACATAAAAGCAGCTATATCAGAGCTTTGAGCACTGTGTTTTGCCAATTGGTCTTTTATTAAGCCTGTCTTTCAGAGACACCAAAACCCATTCAGCTTTGTCTGCTTGACCTGCTGTAGCTCCTATTCCAGTGAATGTGAAAGAAATCACAGTGGATGGTTTCCTACCACTCAAATACTCAGAGTAACAAGTTTTTTTTTTTCCAATGAGGATGCCACTTGATGTTGCAATACATCATTAGAGTTCCTTTTTCAGCCCCTCTGCTGTCTAGCCTGAGAACAGTAGGATTTCGGAGGTATTTCGCTAGGGTAGGGAATTAGCTTGATTTGTTTGACTTACTTACCCTGAAGAACAGCTTGTCTCCTGCTTAGAACATTTTACACACCAGGAGTGAACTGTGGAACCAAACTGAATTTGAAGTAGCAGGCATTTATTTTTTATGTCATCCATAAGAAAAACATTGAACCTTTTTTTAACCATAGCCTTGAAAAGTTCACTTATTGCAGGAAAATACCAACAACCTAGTACATTCTTATGTTTAGAAGACTCACCTTTTATGAAAAAGATGACAGCCCAGCAGAAAAGTCCACAAGACCTGTACTACAGACCAACATGACACAAAAGATTTCCTGTACAGCCACACACCATGTTCACCAACACAGGGAATATCCAAATAGCTGCACTTTCACATCTCTGCTCAAGTAGTACTGGTTCAATGCATGGCAGTTGTGGCCAAAGGACATCAGTATTTATTCAAGGTTTCCCCTGACCAGATTTTTTGGATTTGAGTAAGAATCAATCTCAGTGTTATTTCTGTGAATGACAGAAAACACAGTGACTGTGTAAAATGAGCACCTCAGAGCTTCATATGAATTACTAAAAAAAAACAAGATCCAAAACACACAATACTGCACAATTACAGGCTGAACACAGACCTGTGCGTTCCCAACTCAAGTAGGAGGAAACACAAACAGTGCATTGACTGTGGAGAGCCTCCAAAACCAACTTCCTTTCTCTGCCCAGGCCCAAATGCCACCCATTTCAGTACATCCCAGAATTACTACTGTTAGTTAGCATAGCATTCAGTTCTCCTGTTACTGTTTGATGGAAAACAGACATGATCAACACCATTCTTAACCTTATAAATATCCTTGTCTAAGACAAAATACTGTCTGTATGCATATAGAGTATTAACACAGGCAACCAAGGCCAAGGCAATATAAAATAGTATTTATATTGCCCAGCCAAATACACAGCCACTCTTGGCAAGCTGTGCCAGTATATTAACTAGTCAAGCCAAAGCACTCTGCTGTCCTCTATGCACATCTTATACAGACCACAGATGCAAGACTATCTTCAAGATGACAAAATGAGAGAGAAGTTTAACAAAAAAAAAAAATATTCAAGATCATGGTATGTGATTTTTCCTGCTGCACGTTACTTGGTGAAACAGAACACAAACACTTTCAATGGCTTCCATGCAAAAGCCCACCTGATAGCCACAGCACCAAGAGGGGAAGCAGAAAGAGGTAACAAACGGTTGCATTGTATTGACACCTTCACTACAACAAAAGGCCTATTCTGCATGCTGATGCCAAACCAAGAAAATAAGAAATCCTGGTGTAAAAAGGAAAAAAAAACCAGCCAATCAGAAAAATCCTAACTTGGACCACACTAACTCTAGCCCACAACTTCTTCCTCAACTGTAACTAAGAGGAGAAGACATCGCACTTTGAAACCTACTCAGAAGTTTAATAGACCTGAGTCCTGCATACTAGAGCAGAATACAGGTGGATGCTTGGTCAAGTGCCACCGCAGCCTCATTAGAAAGACTGAAATCCTCATCTTTTGGGTTGATCCCACATTCATTCTGGGATGGACCCCTAAAGACAAACATAGGTATTTGATGGAACCTGAGCCCTAACTCAAGGACCTTACAAGAGCCTTGGACTGGTGATGGGCAGGAGCATGGAGAGCACCACTCAGCACAGATCACATGCTGGAAGTTTATAGATCCAAGCAAGCTCCCATGTTCATTTAGTCACACCTTCCTTCTCACCAAGAGCAGAGAGAAGAAACAGGAAAAAGCCACAGGTGTGCCCTCATTTGTGATCCACTACTGAAAGATCTCACCATGATTTCTAACAGTCACTGTGTCCAGGGAGACCACCTAGCAGGTGAACCATAAGGCTGGGCCAGCTTAATAAGCACATTTCATCTGCCAGCAATACCTGTACCCATGTCAACACTACAGCAGCAGTTCTTAAAGGAGTCCAGCAGGGCTACTGACAGGCAGTTTGTGTGATACTGGCATCAATGTGCAGCCCAGACTCACCTTTCCACCTCCCCTAGTGTTATTACTTGCTGATGGGCTGGAATTCACTCTTGGACAAGAGCATCAAGCAAAAGAGGCTGCACAGAGCCCTCAGTGCTGAGATGTAATCCCCAGTCCTAGCAGAGCTGATGCCAACAGGAGTTGGGTGCAGCCCAGCTGGTGGAGTCTAACATCATATGCATAGCCTGCAGACTATGGGGTATATTGAAAAGAAAATAAATGCATTATAATCAAAATACCACAAACTATACTAAGATAATAGATTAAGGCCTGTGAAGTAGCAACTGAAATGTGGTGGGGGGAAAATATCCCTTTCATCCTTTTGCAGCACTGCATGATAAAACAACTGGAGAGAGAATAATTAGCCTTTGAATTGTGCAGAAACTTGCATTAAAAGCAAAGACAAAAAAAAAAATTATTAGCAGAGCCCATTGATTTCCCAGGCTTTTGAACTACATAGGAGGGATTAATTTGAAGTCTGACTGCATTCTGAAATCAGATTTACCCTCTCAAAACTTCAACCTGGCCAATCTCTTTTATTTCCTTCTCTGGGATACAACATAA